GATTGGATAACAATTTGTCTGAAGTGGTGTAGGGTTTCCTACCTAAGCAGAGGGCTGGACTAGAAGACCTCCAAAATCCCTTCCAACTCTGTATTCTATGTGGAAAGCTTATTAGATGAATGACCTATTAGGAGCCTTATATTAAAACAACGTATTTCATGTGCGATCAAAAATAGAAAATTGCACCTAACACAGCATTTATTTCAATAAAAGAGTTCATTTTTTTAAAATAAAAGTTTCTTATTTTTTTATAAGTCCAAACAATTCATCTTCCATTTAACAATACATCGTCTGAGTATAGACATCTTGTGCGACAATAATCAAAATTACTACTGTATTCATTACATTGATATTAGTTCTCCATTGTTATCTTGTTATTAATATACATAATATCTCTTATACAATAACAATAACATGCTTAGCTCTTCACTTATTATTAGTATATATATCATTATAACAATCCTCTTCTTACCATGTTTAATTCTATTAAGATATTTTCCTTATTTTACTAATCTATTCGATATTTCTAGCTTTCATGTTTTTTCTCTATCGATAAAATAGTTCCCATATCTTATAATATTCAGATTGCTCCTTGTCTTTGATTGCAAGTGTTAATCTGTTCACTTCTGCACATTCTAATATTTTCCTAATCACATTTTCATCAGTAGGAATCTCTTCAGTTTTCCAGTTTTGAGCAAATACAATTCTGGCTGCAGTTAATACATGAATAATTAAGGATATATTCTCTTTACTCTAAGGTACAGTTGAGATTTGCGTATGTAGGTGTGATTGGAGTAAATTGTAATCTCTGCAGTTTTAATGTTTTAATTATTTCTCCACTTGATTTATAACTCATAAGCCACTTCATAGGGAGAAGGTCAGCATAATAAATATAAATAAAAATGGTAAGGGTGATACGAAAATAGGATTTGCATTCTTTACGCTTTCTATGTCATCTGTTTCTTTTATTCCATTTCATAGGGTCTTAGTAATGTTCTGTGTTTTGTATTCTGTTTTTTTTTTAATATGGACTCATAGCTAATTACACAATAAAATTACCAAAAGGAACAGATTTTTCCCTGTGCTTTTATTCAGTGTGGCATTTCTAAAGAAATTCTTGATTCCTGCACCTTTTCTTTTCTTTTGTTTTCTTTTCTTTTTGCTCTCCTTCATTTATATTTCATCAGTTAGCCAGTAAACCCGGCAATAAATTCACAGCCTATAATCAGTTCTGCGGCCTGCATTTGTTTTTCTTTGGGTGATAAACAGTTCCGTAGGGCAGTCTTGGAAGCCAGAGCTATAAAACATTCAGCCTTCTGGGGGATGCTAAAATTTTCCACTGCCTCTGTAAAATCAGAATATGGCCTTGCTATTGATGACCTATTGATGACGCGTTACTTTTGCAAAGTTTGTGCTAATTGAGGATCCCGGGATAGACTTCATGATAGACTGATGCTTCTCGGTCTTAGCAATTTTAAGAAATGTGGACTTCAACTCCCAGAATTCCCCAACCTGCAATACTAACAGATTAACAGAATATCTCCAAGGGACCTTGGAGGTCTTGTAGTCCAACCCTGTACTATTTCAGAAAAATCGTTGTCCAATCTCCTCTTAAAAATCTCCAGTGTTGGAGCATTCGCAACTTCTGGAGGGAAGCCATTCCAATGGTTAATTATTCTGTCAGGAAAATTCTCCTTAAGTTTTAAGTTGGTTCTCTCCTTGAATTGGTTTCCATCCATCGTTTCCTGCCCTGCCTTCAGGTGCTTTGGAGAATAGCTTGACCCCCCTCTTCTTTGTGGCAGCTCCTCAAATATTGGTACCCTGCTATCATGTCAGCCCCTGGTCCTTCTTTTCATTAAACTTAAAGACCTTAATGTGATATTTCTCACCCTTAGCAAGTTTTAGATACGTGGACTTCAGCTCTGCAAAATTGGGAGTCGGCTGGCTGGCTGGGAAAATTCTGGGAGTTGAAGTCCACATATCTTAAAGTTGCTAAGGTTGAAAAACATTGTCCTAGACTAGACACAACCATAGTTGCATTTGGCCAGCCTTAGGGAAGGCTGAATCGTTAGATATGTGGCACTCTTTTCAGCTGTAAGTTGTAAACAGACAAGTTCATGCAACACTGCAATGATATATGACTTTTTGAGCCTCTTAGTTCATAATGTGCCCAAAGGCTACTTGTACCAGTGGAGTTAAACTACCCTTCTGGTTGTCTACTTCTTTTCAGTTAAGTGTCCTGTTGATATTCTTATTTCCTGTTTATTTTTTCCCTTGGGTGGGGGGGAGGCTGGAGGGAGGGCATTTTATTCCACAGCATGTCTGGGTTTACCTGTTGCACGCAGGAATAGGCACTATGTACCTTTACAGGTTTACATCCAGTAGCAATGAAGTAGCAAGTATATGCAGTAGCAAGCACTTCGATTCACAAGCCACGATTCACAGCTTGGCATTGTGTATGAACCCCAGGCCTTGTGGTTTTGTAAGGCACAGATTTTGGCTTCTGGTGTTCTATGAGCCCAGCCGTCTGAGTTTATAACCAGGATTTTTGGCTTAGTGTGTCCGGACATGGGATTGGTGAGTCATGGCTTACATGTGGGTTGAACCAGTCGCTTAAGCAATTGCTAACGTATTAAGAAAGAAGAAAAAGACTAGCACTGGTGTATTTAAAGATGCTGGTTAGGGACAGTTTTAATAAAGAATTTAAATGGGTAAAAATAGCTTTCAGCTGGATGGAATAATTTGGGCATAAATTTGTTCAAAACTGAACAGAGCTGTAAGTCTGAGTTTAACTTTCAGGTGGGGCCTGGGTGGAGAATGGTGGGGTTATCCAAGCATAACAAGGATTTCCTCAAGTTGTGAACACATCAACTCTGATCAGAAGGATGGTGTGCCTGAATCTGAAGCTTGTCAGCTGCTAAGCACAACAGATTGAAAAAGCAAAACTTTTGCAGAGTCCTAAATCCAGATCGCAGTCCAAAAGCAACAGAGAAAGCAGATTTTTTTTTTACTTGCTTATTCGTTATTTATTTAAAACAAATAAACCTTGGCCAAATGTCTCTGGAGATCCAGGTCATGGTTGTCCCAAAAGTGCTTTTTTCAAAAGGCAACTGGACTTTCTTTGTTGTCCTTAAAGACGTTTCACTTCTCATCCACAACTGATGAAGCTCCTTGGATGAGAAGCAAAACGTCTTCAAGGAAAAACCCCCAAAAAGTCTAGTTGCCTTTTGAAAAAGCACTTTTGGGACCTTGGCAACTTTAAGATGTGTGGACTTCAACTCCCAGAATTTCCCCAGCCTGGCCTGCGTTGCTGGTGAAAACGAATTTGTCTAGCCCCATATAGATAATCTAGTAGTTGTAGAGTTGGAATTATAAAGATAACCCTGTTGAGCAATGAAAACTTTCCTGGAATATAGCGGATACAAAACCACAGCATAATTGGCCAGATTTAAATACGTGTTGAAAGGTTCCTAGAAGGCCTCGTGTTATGATAAAGATACCCTATTCTGTCAGTCGGTTTAATAAATGCACATTTAGGCAAAATACAGCTTTGACTTCAAGTGCTTTAAAGCAGGCACAGAAAAGTTCCCTGGGTCACAGGTTTGGAGAGTTTAGTGTGGGAGCTTTCACAAAATGGCTCCCGTGGGAGTAGCTGTTTTCTGAGGGGCTCTAATACAGGTAGAGCTCGACTTTTGACCACAAATGAGCCCAAAATTTCCATTGCTAAGCAAGGCAGTTGTTGAGTGAGTTGTTGCCCCATTTTACGACCTTTTCTTACCTCAGTGATTAAGTGAACCACTGCAATTGGTAAGTTAGTAATGTGGTTAAGTGGATCAAGCTTCCCAATTGACTTTACTTATCAATTGACTGACCCCTAGACACTGCAACCGTCATAAATATGGGTCAGTTGCCAAGTGGCTGGATTTTGATCACACGACCGTGGGGGTGTTGCAACGGCCATTAAGTGTGAAAAATAGTCAAAAGTCACTTTTTTCGATGCCGTTGTAACTTCAAACCATCATTAAACCAATGGATGTAAGTCGAGGGCTGCCTGTACACAATTTCCAAGTACGTTTACTGGCTCGAAAACTTTTCCAGCCTCTAGAGCCGTGATGGTGAACCTATGGCACATGTGCCACAGGTGGCACGCAGAGCCATTTGTGCGGGCACGCAAGCCCCAGGCAAATGTACTGTGCATGTGCGCACCTGCCAGCTGATTTTCAGCCCGTTTGAGGCCTTTTTTGGCCTCTCAGAGAGAAGCCTTTGCAGCCTTTGGAGACCAGAAAAATTGGACTGTTTCGTCACTTCCTGTACTTCGGGAAATACCGGAAGTGACAAAACAGGCCCATTTTTCAGCCTCCAAAGGTTACAGAGGCTTCCCTCAAACTTCTGAGAGGCCGAAAAAGGCCTCAAACGTGCCGAAAATCAGCTGGCAGGTGCAATGCAGGTAAGGGGGTGGCATGCGCAGGAGGCGGGGGGTGCACATTGCCTTATGGGTGCTGGCACATGAGCGCACGGGCAATTTTTGGCATAGGAGCCCCAAAAAGTTAGCCACCACTGCTCTAGAGTCTCACAAATCCTCTTAGCAGACCAAAATTAAGGGTGCCACCAAAGGGAAAAACACAACGTACACGGTGTTCTTAACTTTAATACTCCATCAATGGAAGGAATGTTTACATTGCAGTTCCTAGAAGTGGCTGAAGATGTAATCTTTTCTTTTCTTTGTTTTAAGTCAGGCAATTTCAGTTCACTGGTTTTATCTGACTTAAGAGAAATGTTCCTAATTTTATGGCTCGTCGCTGTTTTGAAAACACAGGTTTTCCTGATTTGACATGGAGCTGAGTTTACTGACTGCCTTGAAATGTTTTTATGGGTCAACTGGTTCTTCCCCAAAGGAACAAATATTGCTCCACAGGTACTCTGTTGAGCCAACACCTTTGCATCAGCCTAATTAAAATAGGAGTAATTTTCTAACTCTTTTCCTTTTTTTTTTCCACCCTCCAGGAATGCCGTTGGCTCAGGCTGTAGCAATTGTTCAGAAACACTGCCGTATCATAAAAAATATACAGGTTCTCTACAGTGAACAAGTAAGTCTGTCTTCAACTTATTGGCTTTTGCTTTTGGTGTTTATTGCACACCCCACAAGGAAGAGGAAGGTTTCTCAGTATTGCGTGATATTATTGTGTGTGTTTGTGTGTTGGTCCATATAATGTCTAAACATTCTTGGTGTTGCCACATCCCGGGGAATGTGGTTTTAAACAACACGATAGCTTACAGGTAATGTCAGGTGTGCATAAGTGCATGTATCATTAGTTTTAATCAAGGGTATTTTTTTGACCACACACCATAGCAGGCAACTCCAAGGGACATATTTAGCTTTTTAGGATCAGAAAATGTATTAGATTCAGGAAGCTGAATTAAATCAGTTTCTTTTCTTTTCTGTTTGTATTTTTTTTTTTAATTTTTGATTTAAATAAATTTAGAAATGGGGAAACATTGTTATACATACGTTTATTTAATATATATAAAGCGAATGCCAAAGGTTAAGATTAGAATGTGAAAAAGGAGGTTACTTGGTATGCTCAAAATAAAATATATTACTATTAGAAGAATGTAGCAAATATCAACAATTGAAAAATGAAGGACTAAGTGCTGATACAGTTATGTATAACAACATTTGACGACGTAAGCTGGACTAATTTAATATTTTTTTCCCTATATTATTATTGCTTTTGTATTAAAATGATAATACTCAGTACCACACTGTTCACGTAATGATAATGATGTATGTTTTTGAATCAGTTCCTTTGATTGGTATCATTGATTTCATTTGGAAACAAGAGAATTTTGCACATCTCAAAAACAATTCAGTAATTCGGTTGCATCCAATCCCTGAATTTCCCCGTTAGATCTCTGAAAACAAATTGTTAACCAAAAAGATGGATAATTTTTTTGGATTGGGGGGAAAAAAAAGACATTTAATAGAGAATCCCTTGTTCAAGAGATTATGATGATTTTCACAGACAGTGGACTTCTTTTATTTAGGGATTGAACCTAATCAAAGCCAATTAATTCTCCTGTAAAAGCAGAACTAAAAGCAGAATTTAAGACATATTGACGCTTTAAAAGAAACAACTGTTCATACATGATTAAAATCTCATTCTGGTTATTGCAAGCCCTGTTTTCAGATTCACACTTCGCAGTCTAACATCACAATGCTTCCTATTCATCTGAACTGAAGTGCGCTTTTGTTTTGCATTCTGTTATATTTTTGGTAAGGAAAGGCGGGGAGGATTTTTAAAAAGAAAAACCCAGGAATCACTGATTTCCTTGTGACATGGATTTTGCTTCTTGGGAAGAAAGAAATTGAAAAGAGCTTATGTTCTTATCCACAAATAGTCTCAGTTTTTGTCAGTGCTCAGTATCTGGCTGGTTTTATCCACAGATACATGCCGTTGTTGAAATGCCTTTTGTAACTTTTAATATATATCTTTTGCCCTGTTTATTCTCCCTTCGTCAATATTATTTTCCTTTATTCCACCCCAGAGATACTATTTAATCAACAGTGTCTATCCATAACCGTTAATTTGAAAAACCTGTAAGGGTGTTTATCACACATGTCCAGTTTGTTTCATGGGAGAATTCTGCAAATATTTTCTCCATTGCTTGGCTACCTTTAAATCTGATTGTTGCCTTGTCTGTGGCCAGAGAAGAGCAGAGGCCTAATGCCTCTTATTTGACTATAGCTTAGACTACGGCTCTTTATTCCACCTCTGATTATTATTGTTCTGACCAAGGCTTCTTGAGACAGTAACAATCACAGGCTGTTCCCCAAAACCCCTTTTTAAAAATTTCAATGGCTGTGAATTATATGCATTCACAGCCCGCAGTGAGTCCCAAATAGTTTATGAATAGCCCAAAAGAAGTCTGCCATAGTCTTTCGGGATAAGGCTGATAGGCACCCACCTTTATTTCCCTTGAAATGCTGCCAATGACTAAATTGCCAATTAGCTGTACAAGTGCAGAACGAAGTCAGCACAGAGCTTCAGAGTTTAAACCAACCAGTACGAACAAGGTTGCTTCCTGCAAAGGCTCATGTCCCTTTGCTCCTCCTTTATGTCTTATGGGAAGGGCCAATCATCTCCAAGCCTTACTCCCGAGTTGCCCCTTTTGTCTTAACTGTTCTTGCCTTCTGGCAGCTCTGTGCATACGCACACTGGGAACCGGATCCCTCTGTTCCTCTGCCACACTGATGTCAGATTCTGGAGGTTCTAGATTCAGCACACAACTCTCAGATGGCCCTGGCCCCATCTCTGTAATGGATGCAGGACCCTTGTCCGAGACTCCGGGACTGGCCCAGGTTCCTCCCCACAGTCCAACTCTGCTGCCAGCTCTGCAGGCCTCCAGTGAGCCACGACACTTATCCCTTTCTCCATGTTCGTGTTGGGACAAATGCTATAACTAAGACCCTGAAATTATTCAGAGGGCCGGGACAAGAAGTAAGCTTAATTCTAAAGAGAGATCCAACACAGAGCTAAGGAGAAATTTCCAGACAGTGAGAACACGTTGTGGCTGCTCCATCAACTGGAGGGTTTCACAAATAGTGTCAGCCCTGGTTTGATATCATCCCCGTCCCAAGTTGGTCTTCTAGGAAAGTAAGACTCTCGGCTCTATCTGTAGTGGAAAGAATCCTTGTACGAAAAGCCAAATGGTTACAGTAGATCAAAGCCAGAATGGAGGTTTTGCATGTGAAAACTTCCCTATTAACTTTCCCTTTCTCATTACACACACACACACACACACACACACACACACACACACACACACACCACCTCCCATTTCTCCAGGTATATTCAAAGAAGTTGCTTCAGTAATTGTCCCTGCAAAGGCAGGCTAGTTCTTGAGCCCTTATATTCCCTTTCCCAGGCCTGGGACTTTGGGATGTTGAGTCGATGTCTCAGGAAGGCACTAAGCTTAGTTCCGGTTTCCCCATTCCCCCAGTTCCCTCCTCCCATAGTTTACGGCATGCTAACATCTAGCAAAGCAGGGCTGGAACAAAGGGTAACCGTTCTGACAAATAGGCCGGACAACCACTTGACCAGGATGGTATAAGATCTCCTCCCTTAAGCAGTGGGTTGGACTAGAAGACCTCCAAGTCCCTTCCAGCCCTATGATTCTACCTACTATGCCCCCCCACAAAGGTTATTCCCCCAAAGCATCACAGCCCTGGTGCTATACCCAGCCTGGTCTTGATCTAAGTCTATTTTCTAAGGGGGGTTGGACTAGATGACCTACAAGGTCCCTTCCAACTCTGTTAATCTAATCTAATCACAGGCATTTTTGCTTAGAGAGAATTGTGTGCAGATCAAGCACTAGGCAGGTGGATTTTGCAAAGTACACCCTATATAAATAATAGCAATATGCAATTAAATAATAGCATATGTTGTTTATATAGTTTGACTAGGTGTTTCTATAGCTGTTCTAACAAATGCTTCAATATTTGCTTTCCTTGGTGTATTCCTATATTGGTGTGTTTTTGTCTACCGGGACAACTTTAAGATATGTGGACATCAACTCCCAGAATTCCCCAGCCAGTACGTGGACTGAGGAATTTTGGGAATTGAAGTCTACACATCTTAAAGTTGAGTAGGTTGCAAAACACGGCTCTTTTGGACAAAAACTATTCTGCTTTGCTTTTGAGAAAGGAAAATGTAACTCTTGTTTTGATCCCGCTCTGTTTTACGAGGTTTGAGAGACTATAAATTAATTAAAATAAAATAAACAGAATGGCGCTTAAGGCTTGCATAGAACCAGTTGTACTTGCAAGCATCTGAACAGCACCTTCCAAAAGTTACTGCTTGCACTGCTCAGGAAATTCATTCTAAAATTTGAAATTTCCTGAGTAGCAGAAGCAGTAACTTTGGAGAGGCGCTGCTCAGATGCTTGCAAATTCAACTGGCTCTATCCAAGCAAATCATTCAGGGTGGGAAAGGATTCTCTTGAAGAAATTTAGCCCAAGGTTCTTCTGTGCACTTATATCCCTTGTTAATTCTTTTAAGCTTAGCTTTTCTCAGTTGAGGAGGTCAAAAGCCATTAACAACAACAACAAAAAACAGTATAAAACAGCTGGCTTCTGGAAATGAGTTTAGAAATCTGCCTGCAACCGGCTGTGCAGTTCTTAACTCCTTGTGAGGAGTTTTTTCAAAGCAATAGGTGGAATGGGGAACTATAAGGTACACAAAACCTATTACTCACTCTTTCAGCTTGCCCAAGAGTTGTAGGAAGTGATTTCAGAGATGGGAGTTAATGTATCTTAGGAGTCTCCGTCATGAGTGATTGACTGTTTCTGACCAGCCATGTGTCTGGACTTAATCCTTTGAAGACAGGTAGTCCTTGACTCACAGCCATTAGTTTAGTGGCCTTTCAAAGTTACAGCAGGACTGAAAAAGAGTGACATAGCAATAGCAATAGTGCTTAGACTTATATACCGCTTCACAGAGTTGTAAGAGCTCTCTCTAAGTGGTTTACAGAGTCAGTCTCTTGCCCACAACAATCTTACTTCTCATTTTACTGACCTGGGAAAGATGGAAGGCTGAGTCAACCTTGAGCTGGTCAGAATCGAACTCCTAGGAGTGGGTAGAGTAAGCCCACCACGCTGCATTCTAACCACTATGTATCATGGATGGATGGATGGATGGATGGATGGATGGATGGATGGGAAGGAGGGAAGAAAGAAGGAAAGGGAAGGGAAGGGCAAAAATAATAGCAATAGCAGTATCACTTAGACTTGTATACCGCTTCACAGTGTTTTAATAGCCCTCTCTAGGCAGTTTCCAGGGTCAGCCTCTGGCCCCCAACGATCTGGGTCCTCATTTTACCCACCTTGGAAGGCTGAGTTTACCTTGAACCTAGAGAGATTCAATCTGCCAAATTGCGGGCAGTCAGCAGAAGCAGCCGGCAGTTCTGCACTCTAATCACTGCGCCACCGAGGCTCATGGCTATGGCTGTTTTTCACATTTCCGACTGTTTCAGCACCCCCATAGTCATATGATCAGTACTCAGATGCTTGGCAACTGGAATTCTGGGAGTTGAAGCCTTCAAGTTGCCAAGGTTGGAGACCCCTGATGTAAACTGTGAACATCAGATGTTGGTTGACTTACTGTTCCATATTCAACATCCTTCCCCAAACAGATGCCTTCTAGAGGTGTTAAGACTCCAACTCCCATAATGCTCACCCAAGGGAGCCCATCCTGATTGGAAATTGTAGAAACTGAAGGCAGGCAGAGGTTGTCCTCGACTTACAAACGTTCGCTTTAGCGACTGTTGCAATGGCGTTGAAAGAAAATAACTTACAACTGGCCCTCAATCTTACCACCATTGCAATCTCCCCAAAGTGGCGTGAACAAAAGTTGGGTGCTTGGCAACCAAGGATGTATTTACGACCGTCTGCAACATCCTGGGGCCACGTGATCGCCATTTGGGACTCTCCCAGCTGGCTTCCGAACACACCAAGTCAATGGGGGAAGCCGGTTTCGCTTAACAACTGTGTGATTCACTTAACAACTGTAGTGAATCGCGTAACAACCGTGGCAAAAAAGGGGGTCGTACAACAGGGTGCAACTCACTCAACAACCTTCTTGCTTAGCAATGGGAATTGTGATCCCAGTTAAGGTTGTGGACTGCCTGTATCTCAGAAGAGCATCCATTTGGGACTGGCTGCTGTAAAGATTTGCGCCGTTGGAATGACATCTTCCTTTGGCAGTGATCTGACAGTTTTCTTCATGTGCAAGAATATGACGCCCCTAGCTCGAAACCCATGCTTTGCTACAAAACTATGTGACTTGGCTTAGTTTTTGGGTAGGAAAATAAGGGGGAAAAAAAATCTGCCTCTGCCTACCAGTGTCCATCGGTATTCATCTGGCTAGCATCCTGTCAGAGTGTGAGAGAGTTGAGGGCTGCTTGGAAACTGAAGCAGTATTTGCTGTGTGAGCAAGAAGGAGACAGCAAGGAGGCTGGGCGTGGTTTAGCTCAACTGTTCTGTACTAAAGCTGCTTGGTGCTATAAAACTGAAACTCCTCTTTCTTAGGTATCATGCCCCTGTTGGAGTCTGAATCCGAGGAGGAAGATGAACAGCTGACAGGGAGCGGGACTATGGCTCCGTTAGCTGTGGAGGAAACTGGGGAAGGGCAAAATCTAGCTGGGCAGAGAAGAGGAGAGGGAGTTCAGAGGAAGACCCAGACCCACCCCCTCTTCATCCTAGGGCACACAGGGAGAAATGGAGAAGAGAGCAACATGGGTTGCATGGCTTATGGGGGAGGAAAGGGCCCTGATTCCCTTCATTGGCCACACCTGGGAATGAGAGTTTAAAAGAAATGCATTCTGAGTGTGGCAGCTGCTGGGAGCAAACATGACTTTATCTTGTGTTGACTTTGCTTATCTGTGTTCCTGGCATTTTCCCAACCGTGTCGAGTTATTGCTTAGCCTTCACGTCTGAAATTCCTTCTCTTGACCTGCCAGACTAATGACCTCACCTTGCCTAGACTGGACTTATAGTTACAGTTTTTGTTGACCATGTTTTGGACTTGATTCTCTGTAGCCCAAGGCTGTTCCTGGGAGAGTTTTTTCTCCAGCCAGAAGGTAACCGGGACATTGGGGGGCAAAGTTGGAGCTAATAAAGGGACTCCGACTGATTATCTGACTGTGTTGCCTTTGTGCCACGCCCCTTTGGGTCCTCACACACGGCTCCAGAGATTCTCTGCCAGCAACTCAAAAATGAATTTCTTTGATTTGTTTTCCAGTCTCCTCTCAGCCATGACCTCATCCTTAACCTGACTCAGGACGGAATCAAACTGCTATTCGATGCTTTCAATCAAAGACTGAAGGTAATCTCACGCCCAGAAGTTACAGTTCTCCCTTTCTGCGCATCTAACCCAAAGAGCCCATGCATGTTTGGCAGTACAGGTTGTCGCAAAACCGACACCATGTTCTGAGCCACAACCGTGCAGCTGTGTCTCCATGGCTACTACTTCTCCCCAGTATTTACATCGTGTGTGTTTACTGGTCTGGCTGCTGCTGCAGTGATGTTAATACTGACACTTTTATTGGTCTGGATTTAATGCCTTAATTTTAGATCGCTGTACAAGATTTGAGCGTGTTGTTTTAGCCCAGAATATCCTGACAGCTTTTGGATCAGCAGGGAGGTTGGATTTCACAAGAAGAAGCCTCCCTAATTTGTAGTCCTTGACTTACAATATTCATTTAGTGGCTGTTCGAAGTTACAGCCGCACTAAAACAGTGACTTATGACCATTTTTTTCACACTTGTAGTGTCCCCATGGTCACACGATCAAGATTCAGTTGCAGTATCCTGGGATCACATGATTCCCTTTTGTGACCTGAGAAGCAAAAGCAATGGGGGAGCCAGGTTCACTTAATGACCATGTGACTTAACAACTGCAGCAGTTGTGGTTCACTTAACAGCTGTGGCAAGAAAGCTCGTAAAATGGGGCAAACGTTATGTCTCACTTAGCAGCTGAAAATTTGGGTTCAATTATGGTTGTAAGTCGAGGACTACCTGTATAAGGAAGGTGATGGGTGAGCCCCTGTTTGGCTTCCCTTCTCCATATTTGGGCTGGCAGAGGCTGCCCACTATCTCTTGGGCAGCTCCTTCCTTGCTCCAGCCCAATTGTGCCATTCTTGTTTAATCGTTTTCTCATCGGTCATATCCAATTTTGCTATTTGGCAGCATCTTGGAGAGCCTGTGGGCCTCCCTTTACTTTATTGGAACATAATGGAGTAACAGAATTGGCAGGGGCCTTTGGAGGTCTTCTAGTCCAACCCTGTACTCTACTAGAAGAACCTCTGTTCCTCTCCTTTTTTGTGCCATGTGGGCAAAGGATTTTAGAGTTTTTAAGAAGCTTTGCCTTCCTTCTCAACCAGGGGATCCATGCTTCTTCCCCTGTTGAAGCTCCTACAGGTGTGGGGCAGGATTTGTTGGGCGGGGGGGCTAATGTCTTCTCGTAGATCAGCCAATCTCTCTTAAGCAACATAGTGGTGCCCGGCTTTATGGAAGCTTTTGAAGTAAGCCATTGGTGAAGTTACTCTCTCCAGTGGCATTTGGGCAGAATATGGTTTTATCATGTGCGAACCATAGTTGAATCGTGGGAAAAGCAAACCATGGTTGACCGTGATATGCAAAGCAGCAGCTGAACATTGATTTTGCAGTTTTTGAGACTGATAGATGATGTTTGGCTTTGGCCTTCTGCGTTGACCACTTTGTCACTGTTACGAGGGTTGGCTTTCTGTCAGGATTCCAGCGGTCGCCCTAATTAAATCATGATTCTCGAGCCAAACTTCAAAAAACTTCAAAAGATTTATTGGAGGCGACATACTGGCATGACCTGTGTGAAGCCAACTCTGAGGGTGTCATAAATCAGATTCTCCAATTAAGCACCTTCACGGGCTGGATGTCCCATTCTCCAATTAAATATCTTCCAGATTTCCTTCCTTCCCCCCCACCCCTTGTTTATGGCAACTATAAAACAGGCATAGGAATGTTTTATGAGTTGACATACTTCTGTTAATATTATATGTAAATGAAGATTCAACCATCCAGGCCAAAAGTATCTAAAAAGGTTTGTGTTCCTTTACTATGGCTATGTTTTCATTTCTTCTTTTTTATCTCTTCCTCTGCTTCTTTGCCATTCTAGCCCACCCTCCTCTCTTCCTTTTTCTCGTATCCTTCCTGCTTTCCGTAACACACATCTTCAGATCTGTTGCTCCGGGCATTAAAACTGTTTTTCAACCTTGGCCCCTTTAAGAAGCATGGACTTAAACGTGCTTTTACAAGAAGAGTACTGCACTCCTCTGTTCGCAACAGAATACCCTACACCACCAGACTCGAGATGCCAGGCTTAGACAACCTTAAACTACCCTGGCTAAGATTGGGCTTAAGCATAGTACATAAAATCATACGTTACAACGTCTTACCAGTTAATGAATATTTCAGCTTTAATCCCAACAACACAAGAGCGCACAACAGATATAAACTGAATGTAAACCACTCCAAACTAGATTGCAGGAAATATGATTTCAGCTACAGAGTGGTCAGTGTCTGGAACTCACGACCTGATTCTGTTGTCACCTGCTCAAACCCCCACTCCTTTACCCTCAAACTAACTTCTATCCTAAGAGGTCTGTAAGGGACGTGCATAAGCCCACAATCGTGCCTACTGTCCCTGTCCTATTGTCCCCAATTATTAGTTCCTATTTCATGTATTTAAACTTAGGTTTATTCTTATTTCTATTGTATTGTAAGTGTTTGACAAAATAAATAAATAAAAATAAATAAATGCTGGCTGGGGAATTCTGGGAGATGAAGTCCAGGTCTTTTCAGGGGATTAATGTTAAAGAAGCAAATTCAAACTAAAAATAGAACTGGAACTAAATATCCTTCTCTCCCTTTGTTTTATTCCCATGTAATTGTATGTTTTTAAGTTTATCTTTGACTAACATCCTTACAGAAGTCAAATATGCTCTACAATTCCAGGGGACATTGATTAATTAATTTTTCATCGTTTTTACAATTTCTGTTTCTCTTTTTTAGGTGATTGAAGTTTATGACTTGACTAAAGTGAAGTTAAAGTACTGGTAAGTGGCTAGATGGTCTCTCCAATGGCCACGAAAAAAGACTATTAAGACATTTTCAATTCTGTAGCAGCTGGGCTGTCTATAGGAGGAGCACGTCAGAAGAGAAAGGATGGCAGCTGCAATTATGCAACCAAATTCCTGCCTTTTTTATACACATCGGAGTCTTCAAACTAGGCCAACTTTAAGACTTGCGCACTTCAACTCCCAGAATTCCTCGACCAGCCTTGCTGGCTGAGGAATTCTGCGAGTTGAAGTCCGCAAGTCTTAAAGTTGGCCAAGTTTGGAGACTCCTGATATACACCAGAAAAATTCAGATAGTTGTGACTACCGAGTTGACATTTTGGACTCACCCCAAGGACATCGAATTTCTTGAGATACTTCTTGAAGGAAAGTGGTTAAAACTGGTGGGTTTTGAAAGAGCCGTGTCTTGCTTAAACATGCTCAAAAGGGAGAAGAAGAATATTAAAAAAGAGAGATTGGAGTTTACAGATGGTATCCTCTCCGATCCAGCACAGTGCAGATGAATTTTGAGTTACCACAGATGAGGAAGCCAGATATATATATAAGATAGAAGCTTTGGTTGCAAACTATTGGATAGCTGTTGTATGACCAATTGCCTTCCTAATTTATCTGAGAGAAATATCCATTAAACCAAGCATCTTTTTAAAAATCTGATCTTGTGCAAACTGTCCCTTTGTAGCTTAATAAGTAAACAAAGGTAGATTTTTTTTTGCCTACCCTTGATGGGTGAACCAGCAAACCGAAAAGGTCTATTTAATGACAGTTTCTTACTGCGTGTTTGCTGGAGAACGATAGTTATTTTCAGGATGAAACATGGCCTGTTTGAAACGGCCTTTAGGGCAAATTGGGATCTTCAGCTCCGTGTGGCATTGGGAATCCTGGCTGGTAACCTAATCCGGTTACCACAACTTCACTGTTAAATTCGGTGTCACAACATTCCCTCCCTGGTGTCTTAGAGCAGCCCTTTATCGTTCGACTGATCTTAATCCGCCAAATTGTTGGGCTAGGATTGTGTTGATCTTCTGAGGGAGGAATACAGCAGGTAAATTCCGCCACATGCTATCCCACCCTCCACACCTCATTGTGTCGATCTTGCTGGAGGGGTGCGTCTGTGCATGTGTGAGGGAGTGTGCGAGGGAGGGACACGCGTGAGCCACAACCTCTCCCAAGATGATTGTTTGGAAAACATTGCAGCAAAAGAATCTAGGTTTGGGGAGGAAATAAATGGCCTTGGTCTAATTCAAAGGCAAGGGAAGAAAGCATGAATTAATGTTAAACTGTTCCAGGATGCCAGAACTAGAGGAGGATTTGGATTACCTAATTGGAGATACTGTGAAAGGTTATTAACGTTGGAAGGACCTGATTTACAAATGGGCTGGCATGCATTTTTGTGGTACAGGAGAGGTAAAACACATGGGTACTTTCAAAGGCATATGGTCAGGGATGCATTGTTACATGTATGGGAAAAAAGGTCTATTTAATGACAGTTTCTTACTGCATGTTTGCTGGAGAACTGCAACTGCAGTGATTCACCTGATAAAAAATGTCATAAACTGGGGCAGAACTCACTTAACATACATCTTGCTTAGCAACCAACATTTTGGCTTCATTTGTCCTAAGTTGAGGACTACCTGTATTATTTCTCGCAAGATATTTGGCATGATGGAGACAAAAATAGTTCTTAAATCTGTGATGAGAAACTAGCAACAATGCATGTTAATTCTTTGGGCTTTCTCTTCTAAACCCTTTTTTTTTTCCTCTTACAAATTTCAAACTGTAATTGCAGAAGATCTGATGAAAGTAAGAAAGCGTGGACTTGGCTTGAACAAGCATTCTGTTTTTCTCACCCCCACTAAAGCCAGTAGTTGCAACAAAAGCATTTTGTACATGACGCGAAAGTGCATTAAAATACATTTTTGAACCTTTTACCGAAAGACCTCTGCCCTAGAATTTCACGTCTGAGCAGATTTGGTTAGAAGCAGAGATAGGATATTTAACCTGAAGCCTCAGATCACAAATAGCTTTGAGCCAAGGCAGTTGGTCTCGGTTGCAAGTTTCTTCCACGCTGCAAAAAAAAAAATGGGGACATTCTAGTTTTTTAGGTTGTGGAAATCAGCAACAAAAGAAACCGTGAAAATAAAAAGATTTTGAAGCAGTTTGTGAACGCGTGGGTAGCTTTCCATTTTGACTGATCGATTTTAATTAATCTTTCTTTTTTTTTTCCCCCCTAGTGGTGTTCATTTTAACTCTCAAGCTATTCCTCCTACCATTGAACAAATTGATCAGTCTTTTGGAGCCACCCATCCAGGAGGTAAGTTTGGGGCATTTAAAAAGATGCAAATCTTGCTTAGCAGCTCATATCCAGAAGAACCCTTTTGCCAGATTAGATTAGATTAGATTAGATTAGATTAGGATTTGGAAGGGATCTTGCAGGTCATCCAGTCCAACCCCCTGCCCAAGCAGGAGATCCTACACCATTTCCAACAAATGCCAGTCCAGGGGAGTTTGTTCTTCCTTTTAATTTCAGATTCAGGTTGATACTGTAGGTTTCCTTGACTTACAACAGTTCATTGATGCAGTGATTCAGTGTCACTGAACAAAGTGACATGATTCCTCCTCCTCCCCCTCCCCCCCCCACATACACTTCTATGGTTGTGACTTATGATTTTTTTCACACCTACGACTGTTGCAGCATCTCCATGATGACATGATCAAAATTCAGATGCTTGCAGCTGACTGATATCCTGGACTAAAGTGATCCCCTTTTGTGGCTTTTTGACAAGCAAAGTCCACGAGGAAGCCAGATTCACACCACAACTGTGTTAACTGCAGTGATTCACTTAACAAGGAAAGTCATAGAATGGGGCAAAACTCACTTGGGAATTGTCTCGCTTAGCAACGAAAAATTTTGGGTTCAATTGTGGTCATAAGTCAGAGACGACCTGTATAGGTTATCATTTGGAGAGTCACTTGGTTTCTGCACGGGATGACTTTGGACAGGAGAAAAACATGCATCAAGGAGCACAGAGATTATTACTTTGGAGAAGGCACATGACAGTTTAGTAAAATGTGAATTTAGGCCAATAAAACTGTGGAAAGGGTAAGAAAGAGATTACCTGTTCCTTCTAACAATAGAAGTGGTCTTTTTTGTGTGACTTTGAGGTGGATCAGATTCTTTGAAGAAACGAATGGTTTACAGACTGCAGCGTCTGCATTCGTGCCTCCTGCTAAACCACATCCAAATCTTCTTTTATATATTAAAGCGAAATACCCCTCACGCATCATCACCAAATCTCCACAACCGTAAAGCCTACGCACTTGACATTTGGCACGTATGTTCCTCTTGCCTTCCAGGTGCTCACTAAGAAAGGATTTTTCCAAATGACCATCAGAGCATTTAGAGTATTTCCTATATTATTATTATGAACACGCTCTGATGCTAAAGGAGTTCCACTCCCACTCCCCACCTGAAAAGAAATCTGTTCCAAATGCAAAACACAAGCAGAGTGGAAGAGTTTCAGTTTTAGTTTCACAGCACCAAGCAGCTTTAGCACAGAACAGTTGAGCTAAGCCACACCCAGGCTCCTTGCTGTCTCCTTGCTCACACAGCAAACACTGTTTCAATTTCCAAACAGCCCTCAACTCTCTCACACACTGACAGAATGCTAGCCAGATGACCACCACTGGATGCAGGTAGACAGAGGCAGAATTCTCCCCCCTACCCGCCTTATTTTCCTCCTCAAAAACTAAACCCGACCAGAGAGTTTCGTAGTGAAGCAGAGGTATAGAGCTAGTCGAAAGAAATGGCGGCTTAGTGTCACCTCCTCCAATTTGGTGGAGCTCCAGAATTGCCCAACCAACTTCGGTTGAGAAAATCCCAAGATGTCAGGGAGGGACATCAGATTGAAGAAAATTCCATGAACTAGAACTACAAAGAAATTTTGTGGCTATGAGGATAATTAATCACTGGAACGACTCACCTCCGGAAGGTGTGGTGCTCCATCACTTATCAAGGAGAGATCCAGACTAGAACTCAGGAGAAATTTCCTGACCGTGAGAACAACTAATCCGTGGAACAGTGTGATGACCCAAAGGGGCGTGGCACAAAGGCAACACAGTCACATAAGAAAGAAAAGTCCCTTTAATACATCCAACGTTGCCCCCAATGTCCAGTTACCTTCGGCTGGAGAAAAAACTCTCCTAAGAACAGTCTTTAAGTGGAGGAAATTCAGTCTGAAAACAAAGTACATACAACCTGTAAATAAAAATCCACACAAATCACGCTGCAGCAATTAACTGGACAGGGCAGGAGAAGCAATATGCAGACTTCAAAGGCCAACAAAACACACACAGTTGGGAAGACACCAGGAATCCAGATAAGCCTTGACAATAAAAGATAACTTGCGATTTGCTTTCAACAAGTTGCTGTGCGCAAACATCCTGTGTTCCCAGCTGCAGCTAATGAAGGGAATCAGGGCCCTTTCCTCCCCGTAAGCCATGCAACTCACGTTGTTCCCTTCTCTGTTCTTCCCAGCATGCCCTAGGATGAAGAGGGGGTGGGCCTGGGTCTTCCTCTGACTTCCCTCTCTCTTGCTCTACCTCTGCCTGCCTTTCCCCAGTTTCTTCCACAGCCAATGGAGTCACACTCCCACCCCCTGTCAGCTGCTCAGCCTCCCCCTTGGAATCAGATTTCGACAGGGGCATGAGAAAAAGATTAGCAATGGGAATAAATTCATCCCATGATATCAGCCAGGTTTCTCAATGGTATAGGATCTCCTACTTGGACAGGGGGTTGGACTAGAAGGCCTCCAGGGTCCCTTCCAATTCTATTGTCCCAAAAGTGCTTTTTCCAAGAAGCAACTGGACGTTCTGGTTTTTCTTCAAAGACATTTCTCTCCTCATCCAAGAAGTTTCTTCAGCTCTGATGGACAGTGTTTTCAAATAATAGGAAGACTGGTACTTGGATGCCGCATTGTGACTTTTCAAGAACCAAATAATAGAGGACTATGTCTTAATATAAACATGTGCGTTAATGTTAGGATTAGCAATGGTGACCTTGTTAGAAGCTACAATAGAGGTAAAAATAAGAAATAGGGGGAATATTAGCTGGTAAAAATTTTATATAACAGAATATAAGTAATAATTTGATGGAAAAGATCAGAGGTTGAAAGATGGTATTATCATCTATGCTTATTATATCATTGCCAGTAAAGTGGAACATTGAAATATTGAATAAATACTCTAAAAAAAACCATGTATAGTAATACTAGGATTATATATGTTTGATTAATACAACAACTGTTATGATTATCGTTATTGCTGTTCGTATCAGAATGAATTATGCCCAAAGACCACACTGTTCATGTATTGATGTATACTTACAAAAATAAAATCCAACAAAACTTGGAAGAAAACTGAATGAATGAGAATCTCCATAGACCGTCCAATTCTATTATTCTGTATTCTATTCTGTACATGTATCTCTCAAAACATTTGAGCGACACCAAGGAGAGAAACTATGGCAGATACTTGTGTCTGCTTTGTTGGTTTTCTTGTGCTATCTGCCACGATTGTGCAAAACCTTCAAAAGAGATCCATGATGGGATGACCAGGAGCAACATCGAAAGCATTTGTGTAAAATCTAGTGGGGACAGGACAAACAGCTCTTTTAACCAGTTGAAAAAGAGTTTCTGTGAAATACTTCTTCTGAAAGGTTGTTTGTTGTCTTTTTCTGGGATGTAGGATGGGGTCTTTAAACTGATTTTATTCTTTCTGTGATGTTATAGCACAAACCGGCAAGTTTAGAATATTAGAATTAGAATAGAGCTGGGAGGGACTTTAGAGATCTTCTAGTCCAGCCCCCTGCTTAAGCAGGAGAACCTATCCCATTTCAGATAAGTCTTCTTAAAAGCCTCCAGTGGTGAAGCAACCACAACTTCTGGTGGCAAGCTGTTCCACTGGTTAATTGTCCTCCCTATTAGGAAATTTCTCCTTAATTCCAGGTTGCATTTCCCCTTGACTGGTTTCCAACCATTGTTTCTTGTCCTGCCTTCTGGTGCTTTGGAGAATAGTTTGTCTCCTTCTTTCTGGCAGCCCCTCAAATATTGGGATATTGCTATCATGTCACCCCTAATTCTTCTTTTCTTTAGACTGGCCAAACCCAAAACCCGCAGCCATTTATTTTAGCCTTTTATTATATGCCTCAAAATACTGTAAATAATTTCATACCAGGAAAGCACAAAGTTGCTTGGAGGGAAATTTGCATGGTGGTTCATCTGTTACAGGGTTTTTTTCCCCCGCCTCTTGTCAGTAACATTTAATTGCTTAATTGCTTGTTTGCCTTAGCCATCAAGACGAAGCTTCTACTAAAAGGTGAACCATCCAATTTACGCAGTTACTAAATTTGTATGCTGTTCTTTGCAATAGGAACAGTGTAAATATCAAACGGAAAAGGCAAAAAAAAAATCCTCTTAAATATGTGCCATTCTCATTTCTAACGAGATATAACGTTTCAGGCTGATCAGCAAAAGAGGATTTAAAAGCCAGGATGAAACAAAACATATCCAAATGGTGTTTTTCTTCCAAGAATTCAGCATTTGTAGGAGGCAAGAAGTCAAGAGAAATGTTTGAGTTCAGATCAGAAGCTTATACAGACAATCCTTGACTTACAACCACTCATTTAGTGACCAGTTGAAGTTACAATTGCAATGAAAAAAATGACTTAATGACTGTTTTTCACACTTATGACCGTTGCAGTATCTTCAGGGTCACATGATCAAAATTTGGATGCAAGAAAGATTGCAAAGTGGGGCAAAACTCCCTTAACGAATGTTTTGCTTAGCAACATAAATTTTAGGCTCAGTTAAGGACTGTCTTTATCCCTTTATTCCTCCTATCTCGTTTCTTAATTTTGTTGCCCCTTGATATTCCTCAGCATGCTTCCCTGTGCCTCTTCCTTGTTTGCTTATCATTATTTAGCCCCATTATAACATCTAGCCAAACAGGTTGGGTAGGTCTTGTTGGAACTGTAGAAACTTGCAAGTCCTGCTTGAGCTGCTACCACAGGAAACAATGCCCCAAAAATAGGGACCTCTAATTTTTCACCCGATTTAAAATACTGACTGTGATCCCATGAAAAAACTTCATTTTTCACTCTGTATTAACCAGCAGAACAACTTGCCTCCAGAAGTTGTGGATGCTCCAACACTGGAGATTTTTAAGAAGAGATTGGACAGTCATTTTTCTATAATGGTATAGGGTTTCCTGCCTGAGCAAGGGGTTGGACTAGAAGATCTCCAGGGTCCCTTCCAACTCTGTTATTCTGTATTTTTAATTTTCCTATGATACCTTAAAACTCCTACTGTTTCCCACATGATTGGAAAAAACTGAGACATGTTATAATGAAGAGCTCAACCCTGGGATAGATTTGGAAGGGCAAGGTTTAGATCAAAGGTCGCCAACCTTTTGGACCTGAGAGACCACCAAACTCATAATTTTAAATCCCAGGGACCACTAACCGGTTCTGTGGGTGTGGCCTAATTTGTGGGTGTGGCTTGGTGGCCATGTGACTGGCTGGGCATGGCTCATATGTAAATACTATAAATATTTATATAAATATTGATTTTTTAATTTTAAAAGAGCAACTTTTACCCAAAATCAGGGAAAGCAGGCAGGCAGATTGAGTTGCTCACAGAATCATTCAGTGATCTATCTATCTGCCATCGGCTAGTTCAGTCTGTCACATAAAATTTGCTTGCCATGAGTCTGTATTGAATAATAGAACCTTCAGTCCTAGGGGAGGTTCGGCTGTGCTTAAAAGCAGAGCCGAAGATCTAAAGACTAGCTAGAAAGCAAGAAATCCCACCATTTCCTGCTTCCTAGCTAATCTAAATCTCCCCGCACAGCAGAACAGCTGATGGTCGGAAAAAGGAAAAATAGCAATTTAGCAGGCAAGTTTGCTGGGTAAGGAGTGAGTGGGCGGGGAGGGTTCCCGCAGGCCATGTGGGCGGTACAGCCTTGTGTTTCTGCGCAGTCTGGATTAATTGCTTTGGGGGGGTGCTCTGGGGGTGAGATTTCTCTGCGGCCCACCAAAATTTTCTCACGGCCCACTAGTCGGTTGCAGCCCAGTGGTTGGTGACCATTGGTTTAGATTATTATACAGTTAGTCCTGAACGACTATAATTGAACCCACAATTTCAACCGTAAGCTGTGATGGACATAAAGTGGATCGCCTGATTTTATGACCTTTTTAGCAGCGGTCGTTCAGCAAACCCATTGTTTGCTATGGGACATTTACCAGAAATGGGAAATAAATGTTGGTTTACGGAAATATCGTGGTCGTGTGACTACGGGACACTACAAGCAGCTGGCTGATGGTGTAACTCTGGGGGTGGGATAGCAGACATTGGGACTTCAAATCCGGATTGTAGGTCAGTTTTTTAGGATCTGTTGTAACTTTGAGCGGTCACAGTCGTAAATCGAGGTTTCCCCGTGGGGTGAATGCAATGTTTGGCCGCATGAATGTTAATGCTGAGTTTGGGTTTTAACGAAGAATTGCTGTTTTTAACAAGCTGCTGTACGTGTGTTTTTCCTTCCAGTTTACAACTCTGCGGAGCAGCTTTTCCATCTCAACTTCAGGGGCCTGTCTTTTTCCTTTCAGTTGGACTCATGGACTGAAACTCCAAAGTATGAGGTCAGCTACTCAGGTTAAAAAAAATAAATTAAAAAAAAAGTGCAAAAGGAAAATAACGTGTTCGTTTCTTCCTCTGTGTTCCCTTTCTTTGATTGTAAAATGTGTGGTTTTTAATTCGGGGGGCTCTCCAACCTTGGGAACTTTACGACTTGTGGACTTCAACTCCCAGAAATCCTCAGCCAGCACATGCATGCACTGGCTGAGGAATTCTGGAACTTGAAGTCCCCTGGTTTAGTCTACACAGCAGGGGTGAATTCAGAGAAAGGTTTAAAAAAAAAAAACAACCAGCTTGGAGGCCTCAGTTGGAAACCGCAGATCTTTCCATGCGAATTCAGGATATGTGTAAAAAGAGCTGCGCTGGTGGACATCACCTTGAACTACACAGACACACACGGACAGACTGGTGCACCATTCCAGCAAATGTCCAGATTCAGGAGGCTTGATCCCCAAGCTATAACTGTAGCCATCATGTCAAGTTATGGCATGTTTATCCATCTTTTGTTGAATAAACCACAATCGCCCAGGTTAACGCAATCTACTAAGCCATAAACCTTGATTTTAGAAGTACGGTGGCTACAATCTCCTGCCGGAACTCAAAACAAATCCCCTTATGACTGACTGAAATATGGGAAACAGATCCTGGGTTTTGCAAGAGAGGGATTAAATTTTTCACTGAGCACTTTATATCCGTGCTTCACTACGAAATTATGTGATCGGGCTTAGTTTTTGGGGGGAGGAAAATAAGGTGGAGGTGAATTCTGCCTCTGTCTACCAGCATCCAGTGGTAGTCATCTGGCTAGCATCCTGTTAGTGTGTGAGAGAGTTGAAGGCTGTTTGGAAATTGAAACAGTATTTGCTGTGTGAGCAAGGAGACAGCAAGGAGCCTGGGTGTGGCTTAGCTCAGCTGTTCTGTACTAAAGCTGCTTGGTGCTGTGAAACTAAAACTGAAACTGAAACTCCTCTGCTTGTGTTTTGCATTTGGAACAGATTTCTTTTCAGATGGCGGGTGGAGTAGAACTCCTTAGCATCAGAGCGTGTTAATAACAATAATATAGGAAATGCTGTCATTTGGAAAAATCCTTTCTTAGTGAGCGCCTGGAAGGCAAGAGGAACATATGTGCCAAATGTCAAGTTTGTAGGCTTTACAGTTGTGGAGATTTTGTGATGATGCATAAGTGGTATTTCACTTTTGTGTGTGTGTGTGAGAGAGAGGGGGGGGAGAGGGAGAGAGAGAGAGAGAAATACCACTATATAGAAGATGGAGGTGCTGCTTTGGGGGTGTACCTGCCAGTTACTGTGTTCGCAATAATTTTTCATTTCGATTTCCACAGCCAAACTTTGCCCACGGCTTAGCCTCTCTGCAAATCCCACACGGCGCAACTGTGAAACGCATGTACATCTACAGCGGAAACAGTCTGCAGGATACAAAGTATGTCGTTCTGATGTTGCGGAGTCACAGAGTTGGAAGGGAGCTTAGAGGTCATCTAGTCCAACCCCCCGCTCAAGCAGGAGGCCCCTATACTCAATAATTCATTAATCTTATTGCTAATTGATTAATTAAACAACTAGATTGATAATTTAATAATCTGGGCATATAAAATGTAAATATTTTATGTCGGCTATCTTGTTGAAAAATAGAAAGAATGTGTTCATTTTTTCTCCCTGTGCCTTTCCTCGATTATACATTGTATGGTTTAGACTACCCAGCAAGAGTGGCTATGTAATACGTTGCTTTTTCATGAATATAATATAATTGTGCAGGTAGTCCTCAATTCATAACTGATTTCTTAATAACCATTTGAGGTTAGGATGGACTCAAAAAAAGTAATTTATGACTTGTCCTCAAATTTACAACTAACACACACGCGCACACACACACACACACCATTCGCATCATCGCATTTTGGGCCTTTAGTAACTGCATTTAATTTAGTTTAGTTTAGCATAGCGTAGAATAGCATAGAATAGTATTAGAATTCTTTATTGGCCAAGTGTGATTGGACACACAAGGAATTTATCTTGGTGCAAATGCTGTCATAAAAGAAATACATAAAAGAAAAAGTTTACTTTATTGTCATTGCACCTCATACAACAAAATCAAATGCCATCTTCAGTGCACATTATAAATATAAAAATAAAACACAAACACACATCCTTTGTATTCTATACATTGAATTGAAAACCCCCGATATTGCATTAATATTGCACTATATACAGTAGAATTCAACAGAGCTACTGTCCTGGGATAGAAGCTGTTTTTCAGCCTAATTTGTCCTTGTTTTTATTATTCTCTACCATCTGCCAGATGATAATAGTTCAAAAAAAAGGGGGTTCCCAGGATGAGATGGATCTTTGAGGATGCTTTGAACTTTCTTAAGGCAGCGGGAGCTCTAAAGCTCTTCCAAAGAGAGGAGAGGGCAACCCAGGATCCTCTGGGCAATGACGTTCACCCTCTGGAGTGCTTTCCTATCTGCCACTGTGCAGTTGGCAAAACCATACAAAGGTGCAGTAAGATACTCTCTATAGTGCAGCGGTAGAAGGTCACCAGCAGTTTTTCATTCAATTGTTATTTCCTGAGAAGTCTCAGGTAGTATTTGTCATTTATGACAAATGCAGCACCCTCCAATTACATGATTGTCTTTTGGGACATTTTCTTGGCTGTTTTGTGGCAAAAAAACACGTCAGTGAAACAAGGTGGACTCAATTATGGACCAAGTGATTCAGTTAAACAATTGCAGTGATTTTCTTCATGATGGCAGAAAAGGTCATACAGTTGGGCGTAACTCACTTCACCACCATCTTGCTTATTAACATAAATACAGGCCCCAATTGTTGCTCTGAGTCGAGGACTTAACCTGTTCTGAGAGTGAATATTTTGTGTTAGTCTTTCACTGAGACGTATTTCATCTTCTCTTTTGTGCTTAAACTCTTTCTCTCTCTCTCTGTTCAGTTCGGGAAACTCTTTTCAGTTTCCGGGCTGAGAAATTGGGTCTTTCACACATCGTTTCCTTGGCGTGCAAACCATCCCTCAAAATTTCTATGGAAATTCTCCCTCATCCAGGTCACGGTTGTTCCAAAGGTGCTTTTTTTCAGGAGGCAACTGGTCTGTCTGGTTTTTCTTTGAAGATGTTTCACTTTTCATCCGAGAAGCTTCTTCAGCTCTGACTGGATTACCATTCTTCTGTTCTCCACCATCCAGTCAGAGCTGAAGAAGCTTCTTGGATGGGAAGCGAAACGTCTTCATGGAAAAACCAAAAAGTCCAGTTGCCTCTTGAAAAAAGCATTTGTGGGACATCTCTCAAAATTCTGCCTTTTCCCCCCTCCTTAAACATTAGATGGCCTCTGGAGATACATCTAACTTTTATTGGCTGGCAAGCTTCAAACCATGATTTATCAATCCAGCCCTTCTTCAGCAGAGGCCTCCCTTTTTTCTCTGTTGGACTACAGTTCCCATCATCCTCCAGTCCACTTCAGGAGTTAGACTTGCTCTTCCATTGTGGTGTCTATTTTGAGTTAGGAAGTTTGGGGAATGGAACCTTCAAGATTGGTAAAGGAACACATATCATATTTTAAATGATTTACATTGTTTTGTGCTTTTAGGGCACCTATGATGCCACTCAGCTGTTTCCTGGGAAATGTGTACGCAGAATACATTGATGTTCTCCGAGATGGAGCTGGACCCTCAGGTTTACGACTGCGCTTACTCACTGCAGGTATCATAATAGGTCCAGTTCTGGTCACCGAAGTTAGTTGAGACCCTAGAAAGAGTGCAGAGAAGAGCAACGAAGATGATTAGGGGCCTAGAGGCTAAACTGTATGATGAACGATGGAGGGTTCTAGGTATGTCTAAGGAGAAGAACCGTTGGTGACTTGATAGCAGTCTCCAATATCTGAGGGGATGTCATAGAGAAGAGGGGCCCGACTTATTCTCCAAAGCATCAGAAGGCAGGACAGATGGAAGCTTATCAAAGGGAGATCCAACCTAGAACTAAGGAGAAATTTTCTTGACATTGAGGACAGTTAATCAGTGGGATGGCTTGCTTTCAGAAGTAGGGAGTTCTCCATCACTGGAGGTTTTCAAGAAGAGATTGGACAGCTCTTTGTCTGGAACAGGGTCTTCTGCTTGAGCAGGGGGTTGGACTAGAAGACCTCCCAGTTCCCTTCCAACTCCGTTAGTCTAATTCCAGGTGAAAATATCTGTTCTTGACTTTCTCAGTAAAAACAGGAAAGTTAATGCGGGCCAGTTGGTGAGGTTGGTTGGCTTCCAGCTTTTCTAGTCCGCTCACCTGGTCAGAAGTAAACCACCCAATACTAGATCAGACTGCGACAAAAATAACAACAACTCTCTGCCTCTTGTGTCTGTTTGTAACTTTCAGTGGGGTGCATCTTAGGCAGCCATTTTTAAATCAATGTACCATACTGTAAGCCCTGGACTTTTCCCCTTCAACCGAAAAGAATGAACTTCTGAAAACTAGGTACTTCAAAAGGAATTCTTTATTGAAAGGAAGTGGTCCCGGTACTAGTCAAAGCAGAATCTAAGATGCTTCCAGTCATACAGTAATAGATAAAGGGAGCTAGAACCCCTCCCCTTGTCCTGATGTGGATTTAGCCAAACAAAGAACCAACATGTTAATCCCCGCCCCTCTTTTCTGGGAATGGGAACATATCTTAGAAAAGTCTCCCAGGGAATATCTTTCAGAGCTGGAATTTTTATGGTCTCTTCTCCTCTTGCTATCTCTCCAAGAGGTGACAAGTTTCTAGACACCTGGCTCCAATCCTCCAGTTGTATATCATGTGCAATTATACAGATTCAATATAAGATATAAGATATTCAGGTTACATCAAAAAGGATTACTTATACCAACTCCCACTATTCTTCCATTGAAGAATGGCAGATACATGGATCTAACACTTACATCAAATGGGCTAATTTAAAGAACGAGTACTTAAACCGTAGTTTCATTTCTGTCTTTTAGCAAATGGTTTTTACATGAGGGTTCTAGTTTTTCAAAAGAAGATTTTGTTTCTCTGACCACTCAGGTTCACATAATTCTATTTTCCAAGACTGCCAGGATCAATTCAGAATTACTCTGTAGTGCTCATATCTTCCCGTCTCCTTTATTTCTCCTTTCTAGGCTGCAGTCCAGGTGTGTTAGCTGATGCCAAAATACGGGTATCCGAGCGTTGCGTGTATTTCGGTGATTCGTGCCAAGATGTCCTGAGCACTTTGGGCTCCCCTCACAAGGTTTTCTACAAATCTGAAGATAAGGTTAGGCAAAATCCATGCAGATCGTTTTTTTAAAAAAATATTTTTATCAAAAACAGAAAGAGCAACATATTCAATATCCGTATAGACCGGGCGTTGTCTGGTTGCAATTCCTTTGAACAATATTCAGCGTCATAATAGTGATGATATTCTTGTTCTGACCTCAGCTTTCCCAAAAAGCACTAAGCAGACTCTTTGTCCTGGCAAAACCCCTTTTATTAAACGAAGGTGAATTTCTTGCATTCACCTTCAGCCTAAGGCCTGGCAAACAGTCTTTCAAGGGTGTAATTAGGAGCACAGACCTTATCTAGCTTGGAGAGCTGCCAAGTAAGTATTTCCAAATGTAGTGCTGACAAGGAAGGACTCGGCACAGAGCCTCTGAGATACACAGACAGATCTTCACACTGCTGCAACAAACGAATTGTTTCCTGCAAAAGCCCCCTCCCCTTTTGCTCCTCTTTTAATCCCTATGGGAGGGGCCCTTCAATGTCCACATGCGCCTTTACTCCCTAGTTGGCCCTTGTTCTTTAACTGTTCCCTTCTCCTGGCAGCTCTGTGCATGTGCACATCGGGAACAGGCTCCAGCTGTTCTTCTGCCCCACTGATCTCTGACTCCGAAGGCAGCTGATAACTGCCGGATAGCCCTGGCCTTATCTCTGCCTCTGACACAGAGCCCTCATCCGAGCCTTCCCCAGACTCCAGGACTGGCCCATGTTCCAACCTCCTCACTGTCCGACTCTGCTGCCAGCTCTGTTAGCTACCGGCGGGTCACAACAATTCTCTAGCAATAATCCTATAGTACCAGTGCTTTTCCTTCATAATATTAATACATATTAATTATTAATACTAATTAGAATTAATGATAGCTTACAGTAATCAACCATCATGACAAAATTAATCTTTCTCTTATAATTTTAAAAGTTCTAACTTCTGGTTCCCTTTGGGGTCCCCGGACAAGGTTTTCTGCAAATCTTAATTCCACCCTCCTTAATTTTTCTGGGAACATAGTTGAAAAGATCTTCCCAGGAAGGTTCTTTCAGAGCTGGAATCTTTATGGCCTCTTCTCCTCTTGCCGTCTCTCCCAAGAGGTGACAAAAGTTTCCAGGCATCTGGACTCCAGTTGTATATCATGTGCAAGTTATACGGATTCAATACAAGAATTAAGATATTCAGGTTACATTAAAAAAGGATTACTTGTATCAAGCCCTCTCCTCCTCCTTCTTCCATTGAAGAATGGCAGATACACGGATCTGACGGGTATTTTATTTTTTGCAAACAGATGAAAATCCACTCACCTTCCCCTCACAAGCAAGTCCCTTCGAAGTGCAACGACTTCTTCTTCAACTACTTCACGCTTGGAGTGGTGAGTTAAAAATGGGGTTAGTACGCGCCATTAAACCCTGTTTGTATAACCATAAACACAAGTGGCCGGGGTCACCCCAATAGGCCGAGCCACGTCACCTGAGTTCTAGCATTACCTTAGCTGGTCTGGTCAAAGTCCCAGGGCCAAAAAAGCAGCTCCTGGATTCTGCAAAGCCACTAGATGGCACTTGAGGGCCTCCATAAACTCCATAAAGTCAGATTTTCCATCAGGGAGTAAAACCTCTTAAGAACTTAGTTTTTGCTTAAGAAGAATGGTATTGTGATGACCCAAAGGGGCCTGGCACAAAAGCAACAAAGTCACAAAAGTAGGTAAAGTCCCTTTAATACCACCAACTTGGGCGCCAATGTCTAGTTTTCATTGGCTGGAGAAAAAACTCCCAAGAACAGTTTTTAAAAGGAAGAAATTCCATCCGAACTCGAAGTATATATAAATTATAAATAAAAACCAACACAAACCATGCTGCAACAATTAACGAGGCAGGGTAGAATAAGGAATTGCAGACTTCAAAAGATAACAAAACACACACAGTTGGGAGGACGCCAGAACTCAGATAATACAAACCAAAATAATTCATGCTTTGCTTCCAGCAAGGAGCTATGCGCAAACACCCTCTTTATCCTGTTTTCCAAGCTGCAGCTAATGAAGGGAATCAGGGCCCTTTCCTCCCCCGTAACCCACATTGCTCCCTTCTCTGTTCCTCCCTGCGTGCCCTAGGATGAAGAGGGGGTGGGTCTGGGTCTTCCTCTGAATGCCCAGTTGGACTATGCCCTTCCCCAGTTTCCTCCACAGCCACCAGAGCCACACTCCCACTTCCTGTCAGCTGTTCCACCTCTTCCTCTGGAATCAGATTCCAACAGAGGCATGACAGGTATGGAGGTGCCACACATGATATGATGTCAAATTGTAGGCCAGCTGTTGAACAAAGTAGCAGACGGTTTGGCTGCTCATTTTTGAATTAATTAATTTTTTCAAGTTGCTCACACATAGAATGTCTACGCAGATTCTCAGTCATGGTTATCCCAAAGGTACTTTTTTTTTTTTTTCAAGAGGCAACTGGACTTTCTGGTGTTGTTTTTTTTTTCTTTGAAGACATTTCGCTTCTCATCCAAGAAGCTTCTTCAGCTCTGACTGGATGGAGATGGGGGGGAAAAGCACCTTTGAGTCATGCATAGGATATCGTAGAATAAACAGTCCCAAAGGTGCTTGTTTTTCCTTGAAGACGTTTTGCTTTGTCATCCAAGAAGTTTTTCAGCTCTGTCCTTCTTGGATGACAGCCATGACCCGGAGGGCTGAGAATCTCTACAGACTCTTAACTATACAATTTGGGATGGACACCCTTGGAATGGCGTGGGAGGAGGAATGGATTTCCAAAGGAAAACAATTGCAGACTACAGGAACCATTAGCACTCCTCAGATGACCCTGAGGACACAGATAAAACCTCCAAGTGGTCTCAACGACCCTCCAAAAGGATGCAAGTGACCAGCTGTCTGCAAGGAATACCGATCCTCCCATTGCCCATCAATCCAGTCAGAGCTGAAGAAGCTTCTTGGATGAGAAGCGAAACGTCTTCAAGGAAAAAACAAGCAAGTCCAGTTGCGTCTTGAAAAAAAAAAAGCACCTTTGGGACAACCAGGACCTGGAGGACCGAGAATCTCCATAGAATAAACAGGGTTGGAAGGGACCTTTGGAGGTCATCTAGTCCAGGGCTTACCGACCTTTTGGATCTCAGGGACCACCAAACTCATCATTTTAAATCCCGCGGACCACTAATATGGATTTTGACGGACGGTGGCTTGCTGACGTTGGTGGGAAAGTCGGTCCCGTATTCCAGAGCTGCAGGAGTCACAGGACTGGCCCTTTGGTCATCTCAGAGCAGTTGCTTCTCCACCCAGGTGCACCAACCTGCCATGGACTGGAGGAGCTGCTCCGGGATGACCAAAGGGCCAGTCCTGTGACTCCTGCAGCTCTGGAATACGGGACCGACTTTCCCACCAACTTCATCAAGCCACCCCGGGGTGGATTTCCCTTCCCTGCCCTTGGTCTTCCACTTCCAGCTCACGTGGCTCTACTCGAGGTAAGGTTTGCGCTTGGCCGAAGGGTGGGGGCCAGCGGGTGGGCGGGCCATGTAGACGGCACAGCCTTGTGTTCCCGCAAAGCCTGGATGAATCGCTTTGGGGACGACATTTCTCAACCACCAACGTTTTCCCACCGTTCTAGTCCAACCCTACTCAAAGCATGAAACCTTGCGCCCTCCTGCACAAATGGCTGACCGTTCTCCACTTAAAAACCTCCAGCAATGGAGCAGCCACAACTTCTTCAGGAAAGCCATTATATACCCTAGTTTATTGTTCTGACCGTCAAGAAATTTTCCCTCCGTTCCAGTTTAAAGTAGACGTGCCTAGTTCCTTTAGCCATTCACCGTATGCTTTAGCCTCCAGTCCCCTAACCTTTGTTGCTCCTCTCCTCACTCTTTCGAGAGTCTCAACATAATTTTTTGTATCGTGGTGACCAGAACGGGATGCAGGATTCCAAGTGTGGCCTCATTAAATGCAACATAAAGCAGTATTATCACTTTACGTCATCTTGAAACTAACCCTCTGTTGATGTAACCTAGGACTGCTTTGGCTTTTTTGGCAGTGCAGTACAGCTCATACTTAAGTGGTTGTCTGCTAGGGCAGCTAGATTCCTCCTACGGTTAATACTGTTGCGCCAGGTCCTTGTTGAATGACATGTAGAGCGTTACAATAATTTAAATAGATCAATTGATTGATTAGGATGACTGGTGCGGCGGCCTAGAAGTGAAGCTCTCGCCTCACAGTCAGGAGGCTGTGAGTTCAATCCTAGGTAGAGGCAGATATTTCTCTCTTTGGGCACGATGAGAATATATTTGCTGAATATAACTCCGCCCTGGCAACAGGAAGGGCATCCGGCCAGTAATACTCAGCTCCATTCAGTTGCCCAGATGCATGGGATTATGGGGTCATTAAAAGCGGATGATGAATTATGATGATTGAATTATGGATTATGAATTATGATGATGATGATGATGGCTTGTTTCATCACTTAAGTGTAGTTACCATATGTGTTTTCCCTTGTTGTCCTTTTTCCCCCCACAGGACATCCTTTTTGATGCAAATACTCATAGAGTAAAGAAATTTGTTTTGCATACCAATTATCCTGGTCATTATAACTTCAACATGTGAGTCAAAAATTTTCTTATTTTCTATTTCAGTTTGAAAAGTCACGGGGTAGAGCAGCGGCCCAACAACCTTCGCAGCTTGGCGGCCAGGCTGGGTGGGGGAGAGAGGACAACTGGCCTTCCACTTCAGTGCTGAAATGGGCTGTTTTGATCATTTTGGAAGGAGCTTAGAAACCACGTTTTGAATTCAAAACAAGGTGCTATGAATTCAGAACAGTTCGACTTGAACATGATTCATTTAGAGCAGGAGTGTCCAGCCTCAGCAACTTTTAAGACCTACGGACTTCAACTCCCAGAATTCCCTTGCCAGCCCATGCCGGCTGGGGAATTTTGGGAGTTGGTCCATAGGTCTTAAAGTTGCCAGGGTTGGACACCCAGGTGTAGCCCGATAGCTGTCCGGGGGATTCTGGGATTTGTAGGCCAACAAGCTTTTAAAGTTGCCACGGTCGGACACCCCTGATTTAGAGTCAAGTATTATTATTTTTAATTAAATTCTTGTTTATGATTGTACTTTCTCCTAACTGCTGATTCCACTCTTGCAGTTATCACCGTTGTGAATTCAAGATCCCACTCGTTATTAAACGAGGTAAGAAAGAAAGAATATTTGGCAAAAGATACACGTGAATGGAAACATCTACCATGAATGAATTATGGGTGCCTATGATTCAAGGATCTTTTTTTGATGTGTTTGAAAAAAGGTTTTAATCAAAGTTGAGGGTAAGCCCAAAGTTACGGCATGTGAAGCAGAGACTTTTAGGCTCAATATGGCTGACAACATGGGTGAATTTAGAAAAGATTAAGGAAACAACAGAAATATTAGAAAACTAGTGCTGACACCCTAATATATACCCTTGGTGTATGAGAATTCTTTTTTTTTTTGAAAATTTTATTTGGGTTTTCACAAAAGAATACAAATAAAAACATCTTTTTTAAAAAATAGCATGATCCCGGGTTACACTTCTTCATACAGACACAAACTCAATTTCATGCTCACTTTTATGTTCTATTCCATATCTTATTGCTGTTTTATATTTTCTACATAGTTTTTCTTCTCTCTTAATTTTCTCAATTTTATTTTAATTATCTCAATTCAAATCATTATATTTATACTTTTGTCTGTCCTGTTTCAATTTCATATTTTCTTTTCTCATTAAACAAATTTTTTCCTGTAGTTACTAATTGGAGTATGACACCTTTATATCTTAATTTCATCCATTCAACTCTTATTTAAGCTTCAGTATATACCTTGAGGTTATAACATTCAATATAATACATAACTTCCAATCGAATTCTGCTTGGTACATTCTTAAAATGCACGCTATATTCTTAAAAAGTGATTATAAATATATGTAATTAAAGCACTCATTCCATTCCAATTCAGTTCTATCATTAATATTAATTATAGTCTTAACATCTTTAACATTTCTTTTCAATTAAATATCATACTTCCTTGGGAACACTTATAAGTTTTCCGTAATTAATTCCCCCCCCCCATTTCTCTTCCCTTATATTTTATAAAGCATTAAATAATTACAATGTTCCCATCCTTTCCTAATTCAATTCTCTCAATCATTTTATTTCATTTATTTATTAACAAACATTTCACTAGATTACAATAACTATTTTATCCATCATTTTAATCATACATTGTTTCATATTTTCTAAAATTATTTCTATTTCTAATATAACAATACTATGTACCTTTGCAGAATCCCTTTTTCAATTAAATTTTCACCCATTATCTCTAAATAGGCCCTGTTTCTCCATATCTTGTTTCTTTCCTTTATAACTTCTTTTCCTTTCTTTCTTCCCTCTCTTCTTCTCCCTCTCCTTTTTACCTCCTTGTCTCTCTAATTCTAATTCTCTCTTCTGTATTCCCCTCTTCTGTTGCTTTCTAATATTATACTTATTTTTCAAGTTGTTATTCCTTTTCTTGGTTGTTTTTTCAAATCTTAAACTTTTCATTCTCTTTCCCCCCTTTCCTTTTCTTTCCCCACATAAAATTACTTGCTCATTAAAGATGGCTTCTTCTTTGTCCCAATCTTCTTGTTCTGCAAGCATTTCTTGTTGTTTCTCATAGTTCCAGATCTCCATTTCTAAGAATTGAAATACGAAACCAAAAGAATCTCTCCCTTCTCGTGCATCTTTTTTGTACTTTTAAGTTCCATTTTCAGTATAGGGAAAGGGAGAGAAGAAACACTTTTGGGACAACCATGACCTGAATGACTGAAAATCTTCTTAGACTTTCCTTTTCTGCTCTAGGCCAAACCTACCTTATTGATGTTTTAATTAAGCATTTGATAGGAGGAATGTGCCATTGACATGTAAACTTATATTTTTAAATGTTTTCTCCCCCAAACTAGAAAGTACTGAGTCACAGACGGAAACCTGCACGACGTACAGCAAGGTAAATCACAAAAGAGGAGATTCTTAGAACAGCCCTGACCTTACAGGTGTTTTACCTGGCTTTTTGTTTTTTTGTCTAGGTTACTGGTGCAAAACACCCGTTTTCCATGGGGTCTCAATAGAATCTGGGGTGGATGGATTCTTACCAGAATACAGCTTACTTTGAGATATTTGCAGTTTTAAGTTTCCAGGAAGGTCCAAGAAAAAAGAGCAGGCTTAGCCAGGAACGAGGCCCCTGCGAGGGAGGCAGCTGTGGGGTCACCACCGAGAGATGTTTGCAGTTCTTCCAAAATGGCACCTGAATTCTGGACATGAGATGCATGCAGAGCCTTTTTCTGTTTGTTTTTATTCACAGCAGGCTTCATATTCTTACACATTTCCTTTTTCTTGTAGTGGGATAATATTCAAGAGCTTCTTGGACATCCTGTGGAAAAACCCGTAGTTCTTCACAGGTAAAAAGAAAGAAAGAAAGAAATGCTTTCCTTTAGGAAGAAATAGCACACTTTGCTACCAAGATATGAAAAAACAACAACAATCATGGATCCAATAATGATATTGAGGAGCTGAAAGGGGATAGGTTCTCGATTATTTAGTACTGCTGTAGGATTCTGCTCAGTATTCATTTGGGCCATGCAAAACTCACAGTCAGAATAGAACACGGACTAGAACTGGAAGGGAACTTGAGGTCTTCTAGTCCAACCCCCTGCTCAAGCAGGAGACCCTATACTAGTCCAGACAAATGGATGTCCAGTCTCTTCTTAAAATCTTCCACTGATGGGACACCCACAAGTTCTGAAGGCAAGCTGTTCCATTGGTTGATTGCTCTCACCATTGGGAAATTTCTCCTTCATTTTTAGGTTGCTTCTCTCCTTGATTAGTTTCCATCCATTTCTTCTTGTCCTGCCTTCGGGTGCTTTGGAGAATAGCTTGACCCCCTCTTCTTTGTGGCAGCCCCTCAAATATTGGAAGACTGCTGTGATGTTGCCCCTGGTCCTTCTTTTCTCTAGAGTCTAGAGTAGACGATCTGTCATGCCCCTGATGGAGACTGACTCTGAGGGAGAGAAGGAACAGCCCACAGGGAGTGGAGGCTGGGGAAGGGCAGAGGCCACCTGGGCAGTCCGAGGAGGACCCAGGCCCTCCCCTATCCATCCTAGGGCACGCAGGGAAAAGAGGATAAGGGAGAGACGTGGTCTCCTCGGGAGGAGAGGGCCTGATCCTCTTCATGGGCTGCAGCTGTGACAACTGGATAAGAGGATGGACATGCGGATGGGCCAGTGCTGGAAAGAAAGCGTGGAAATGTCTCTAGTTTATGGTTCCTCTCTTGAGTTTGATGCCCTTCCCAGTGTGTGTTTCCTGTGGACGTCCTGCAGCCCTTCTCTTGCCTGGTTTGTGTTGTTTTTTTACTCTATAGGCATTTTTAGTTTAAATGGCATTTCCTCCTTCTTGTAACTGCTCGTGTGGGAGTTTTTTGTCTCCAGTCGAGGATATTTGGAGCTTGGAAGCAACGTGAAGGAATAAAAGGGGCTTCACCTCTTTTTTTGTGACTGTGTTTATTTTGTATCCCACCCTGGGTCATCACACTATCCATATCTAATTCCTGCAACTGTTCTTCAACCTTCTGCAACCATTGTTGGTTGGCAGGTGTTACGGAGAAAACCCTCAAGTACAGGTGGTCCTTGAATTCCTATTGTAATGGAACCTGCCCTCCACAATCATAACTAGCAAAAGTAATAGCACTTAGTCTTATATACCGCTTCACAGTGCTTTCCAGCCCTCTCTAAGCGGTTTACAGAGTCAGCCTCTTGCCCCCAACAATCTGGGTCCTCATTTTACCCACCTCGGAAGGATGGAAGGCTGAGTCAACCTGGAGCCAGTCAGGATTGAACTGTTGGCAATGGGCAGAATTAGTCTGCAATACTGCATTCTAACCAGGGTAATTTCGAATGATCACTAAATGAATATGTCGAGGACTTACCTGTACTTTTGGCAACCCATCTTCACCAATATTTTGCTTGTTGAGTAATGTGCCTCACGACAGAATTTATAACTTCCTGAATAACGCGTAGCATAGCAAAGAATGTGAAGCGTTGGGGAAGTTCATAACATCACTTCGAGGCCAGCAAAATATACACTGCGAAATAGCACCGCATGTTGGAAAAATTAACATTCCTACGAGGGCAATTTTTAATTTGAACTGAAGTTTGCTTTCATGCAACCGACAAACAGATCTTCTTTCATTTCTACAGGTCGTCCTCTCCGAACAACACAAATCCATTTGGGTCAACTTTTTGTTTCGGGTTACAACGGATGATCTTTGAGGTGAGGAGAGCAACAGTCAGTTGGAGTTGGGTTGGGCTGAACTATTGCTATACCTTCTTTAAAAATGGATATTATTATTATTTTTTTGAGATAAGAAGGACCACGATGCATATTGGATATATTTCCAAGTATGTTGTTTTGTCTTGCTTGCTTATTCCATGGAGAGAGTTCCCAATTCCACAACCATTACAAGCATTTAATATGCTGTTATTGTGTAGAAATATTTTGCTTTCTTATCCCACCGCCCAGGGATAAAGTTGTTCTATGACGACTTGTTCTGTGGTGGTATGTGTGAATGGCCTTGGGAGGCAGGGAAGAGCCACAGCCAGGGGAATGGTCAGATAAGAGGCAGCTGAACCCTCAGAAGTCATGTGGATGAATGGGGGCGGGGGGGTAAATATCTGGGGAAAGACCCTCCGTAGTTTCCAGGTCTGTAAAGGCAACAGGGGAGAAACTTATTGTCAGACTTGCAAGAGTTTATTAATGTAATGTTACAATAAAGTAGAATTACAGGTGGTCTTTGGTTAACAAGGTTAATTGATAATTCCCATTGTTAAGTGATGGCATTCGCTAAACAAGGATGATGGGCCGTTGAGAAAGTCGCAGGTCATATGAACGTTCATTTGCAGCCATGCCTGCCATCTTCTCACAAGCTTAGAAGCAGCCCAGCAGGCAGGGGAGTGGCTGCTATTGGGTTGGAGAGGGCATGCTGATGGTAGATGAAGATCTGGAGCAATTTAGCGGATCAATTTGCAACCTTCCTTGCTGTCTTTCCTGTTGAGTTGCTTGTGAGAAGACAGCATGGAAGGCTGCAAACAACATACACAAGAAAGCAACCCCGAACCACAAATATTCTTCTTTACTGGAACATCCACATGACCATAGGACCATTATGAGCTGGTTGTCAAGCACCCAGATTGCGATCATGTGGTCTCGGGGATGCTGGCGCAGCCAGAACTTCAAGGATCTGATATAAGTGCCACTTGGTCATGTCTGGTCAGCTGCCAGCCCCTCTTGCAGCCAAATCAGAGGAGGATGAGGAGGAGGCGTGGGAGTCAGGGTCAGCATTAGGGAAACCTAAGAGCTCTGAGAGGGAAGAGGGAATGGAGCTGAGAGAGAGAGAGAGAGAGAGAGAGAGCCTGGGCCATCCGTCAGCCCTCAGATGGAGAGTTAACAGCCCCCAGGTCTGCAGGTGGCCGATGAAGAGGAGGAACAGCTGGGTTCAGTGCCTGACGTGCGGATGCACAGAAGGCAGAGGAGAGGAGAGCAGTGGAAATCTGTGGGCCGGTCCCTGGGACGGAAGAGCCTCTGCTGCTAGTGACGCCCCACTCTAGCTCTGGGGATAAAAGGCAGGGGGCGGAGATGAATCGATGTGGCAGACAGCTATTCATCGCCCTGTCGGACGAACTAGTTAGCCTGCGGCGAGAGAGAAACTTTTGCTGGGCCTGCTGGGGCTCCTAATTCAAGGAATCAATTATTGGACTTCAGAGGGGTTGTCGTGTTTGGGGAACTGGGTCAGACACACTTGTGCATCCCCATGGAAACTTCAATCTGTCCCTGAGCGAATGAACGTTAAATGAGGCCTGCCTGCAGTTCATTCGGGTACGCTTCCTGTCTGGATGACCTCACAGGACTGATGCCCCGCTTTCCGCGGGATGGGCTGAGCCAGCCCTTCCCTGGGGCCTTCTGGCCTGACCTCCAGGTGGTGCCTTCTCTTGCTCCCGATCGCCTTTGGCTGCCATTTTGAATCTGTCGGCTGTCTCTCCTCCGCAGGTGATGCAGAATAACCACATCGCATCCGTCACGCTCTACGGCCCGGCCCGGCCGGCCCTTCAGACCAAGACCTTCGACCTCCCCCAGTGAGCAATACCCACTGAACATAAGGCTACACAATTCGCTCAGCGTGCCTTGAGTTGCTGCCGCTTATCATGACGGAAAAGCACGAAACGGTGGAGAGTGTGAGTGTGCGTGTATATGGTTGTGTGTGTGTGAGAGAGAGAGAGAGAGAGAGAGAGAGAAAGCGGGGGAAGGAGGGAGAGAGAGGGGGTACAAGAAAATTTGGCCCTCGCCATCTGTGGATGGTACCGGCTGGAAATCCTCTGGAGCTGAACCTTGCAGGACTTGGAGCCAGTGGCAGAGGCACAAACACAGCTACACACACACACACACACACACACACACACACACACACACCCCTAGGCGGCACTAGCATTAGTCCTCTTGCTTGGCCTTGGAAGTTACGGTATAAATGCAAACAGTTTGGCTTTGCAGTGCTGGACAGAGAAAGAGCTTTTGAAAAGAGCTCAGCACATCCTTAGAAGCACAAGTTCCTCATCTTTGGGCATCTGAAAGCAGGGCTCTCTTTCTCTCTATATATATACATACCTATATATATATATATATATATATATACCTATATATATGCGTGTGTGTATATACGTATTATTTTCCCCTTTCTTTCCCGTCTGTCTCTGCGTGCCACGTATTCAGAGTTGCGTTCCTGTGTTTTATTTTGCTTCTGGGGGACAAAAAAAAAGGAAAAAGGAGAAAGGCAAGGATATGGGTGGACACAGACTCACACAGAGCTCATGTATAGGTGTATATATAAAATAAAATACATGGATTTTTAGTTAGCTTGGGATAGCCCACCATGCTCAATATGTCCATAATTTCAGGTGTCCGATGTTAGAAACGAGGCACAAGGCAACCTAAAGACTTGGTGATCGATCATATATATGTGTATATGTATATATATATATATTTGCACTACATACACTTTAATTACTTGATAAGACCTTTTGAATTTTACTGAGTGCTGGGCGTGAGTGGAGGCTGGGTTTAAGTGTTGTTGTTTTTGCCACACCTAAAATATTTGGGGTGGGTGGGGAAATAATCTGATGCAATTTTTCTGCACTAAATGTTTACTTGATGCAATGAAACAAAATTTTGTCTCCTGCCACGTTTGGTGAACTAAACCCCAGTTTTCTTCTGGGGTTAGAGTGAAAGAACAAAAAAAAAAAACTCGAATTAGATGACTCCTACAAATTACGATGCTTTTAAGGGAGAGTTCGGATATATCAGGTTTTTTTTTTCTTTGCGTGCAAAACAGATAACTGATATGCATTCTTGGAAGAGTTTAGCTGCAGCTTAAGATGTGACATGAGATCCGATTTACAACGTCCTTGAGTTCCTTGTCCGGTCAACGAGGTTGGGGGTTGGGGGGGCAGAATTGGGATTGTTCTGTACCAGGTTCCTCTTTTTTCCTCACCTATATCCTGCTGAGATGAAATAAAAAACATGTCGCCTTAAGGAATTTTCCCAAGGACTTTTGACCCTGGAGGTGAAATTTCTGGGTTGTCTTATTGTGCAGCCCAGCAGAAATGAGGACTGTGCCTCTCTCTCTCTCTCTCTTTTTTTTTTTTAATTTAATGCCAAAATTTTAGCCAAAGAGATCCTTAATCTTAAGTTTTCAACATTTCTACGTGTATAGATAGGAATAGGTAGAAATAGAGATAAGGGTTGGGCAGTTCCTCCACCTCCATCCGTCGCAGGGGAAAAAATATAATAATAATTCAGTGACTTCTAGTTAAGGAAAAGTTATTTAAAAGCCTGTTATTTCAAGGAGATTTTAAGGGATGCATGTGATTCTTTGGCTGCTTTTTATCTTTAAAAAAAAGTAAATAATAAATGGTCTCGCTTTTTTTTCGATCGTAACCCTTTTTACAGCGGTGGAGAGGATATATATATATATATATATATAAAAAAGACTGCATAGAGAGAGAGTTTATAATTTTATCCCATTTTTTAATATTTTGGTGTAGCAAGTTGTGATATAAATTATAGATGATTTTTGTGAGTTTTAAAACTGTGTGTAAATACAGAATTTTTGTAAATACAAAAAAAAAGAAAAACCATTTTGTAATTTTAATTCTGTGTACAGCTAAAGCGTGTATAAATTTATCCACAAATGAGGAATAGGGATTTTCAGAGTGTTAAAAAGTTATGAATCCTGGACCGGTAGCAGGATAAATGTTGTGTGAGTTTGCTGTAAATTTGTGTGTGTGTGTGCGTGCGTTTGTGTCCCTCCTTTTTGTCATTGAGTCCTCTATACACTGTTGGACTAATAAATAAATAAATCAAGGAAGCCCCATTGGGCCAACGGGAAGAAATGGTTTAAGACTGACCTTTATTCTTAAATGTTTCTCCAAATCCTCTTTTTCCTTGGACAGTTGCTTGCTGAGAATTTTTTTTTCCTTTCCTTTTCTTTTCTTATCCCACGAATTTGTGTTTTCATAATTCTCCTGTAAATTCTCTGAAATGCGTTAACATCTAGCATGTACCTTAAAAGGACAAATAAACAAGACTTGGTTGCTGGGTTTAACTACAGTGGCTGAGTATATATGTACTTTGCAACAAATGAGTCCTCGGTCTTGGATTTATCTTCCCGTCTAGATCTTGCAGAAGGTGGTGGTGAATCCTTTCAGAGATACTTTGTAAAGTAGATTAGGTTGTAGGAGATTTTGGGTGAGTAATCTTTGTGCAGTGCTTAAAGGTAAGTTTCTTTAAAGCCAGGGATTACTTTAACACATTCTGTGAGCTCGTGCGTGCGCTCTACAAGTAGTCCTTGATTCATAACCTTTCATTTAGCCTACCAAGTAAATCACAATTCCAATATTCCAGACTTTCTCAGTCTGTCTGTCTCTCTGTCTGTCTGTCTGTCTTTCTCTTTCTCTCTTCTCTCTCTGTTTCTCTGTGTGTGTCTCTGTCTTCCTCTCTCTCAATCACACACACACACACACGGTGACCTCCAAAGTCCCTTCCATCCCTATGACTATATTCACACCATAGCTTCCTAAGTTATCGCCATGCACCAAATCCATTTATGGCTTATTTGTTTTGGTGCATAGATTCATAACAATCAGGTTGTGTGAACTGGATATAAGTATTTCGAGTCGTAAAGATTATAAAATTATTGTTTTCTTGCACATTCTGCCATTTTTTCTCTCTCCTGAAGTACAGTAGTTGGATAGGTTAGCCACAAAAAGAGGAAAATGTTTTTCTCTCTGTAATGAAATATTTATTTCTCTGGGCAAATGCTCTCTATCAGCACAACATAACAATAATCCTGTCTGTTCTTTCTTAATTCGAAACAGATTTTTCCCCCTGTAGCAAAATCATCATATGATGTGATCTGACTTGCAAATGTTGATTTTAACTTTATGACCTCTTTCCCCACAAAACACTGGTGAAATCAGGTTTTCCAGACCCTAAGGCTAACTGGGAAACTTGTGTTAAAGTTTGTTTCCCTTTTCGTTTCATGCAAATCAAAGCAAAAATCATATTCCTTGAAGGAATTTGATCAAAGGGATCTGGAAAATAAACGGAGCATAATAATTTCTTCCATTGTAATTTAACTCTCCCAAGTTTTTTTTTCTGACTCGCAAACACAGAAACAATAAATTTAAACCGTGTTTTATTAGATCATTTTTAAAAAGCTCCCATTTTCAGGAGCAAATTCAGGAAGGAAGGAAGATGGTACGTTTTCTTTAGTTGTATGCTGCCAACCAACAACCTCATCATAAATTTAAAATATCTATAAAAAAGAAGAAAAGGAAACCACAATACATTAAAATGCCAATAAAAAAAATTAAATATGATTTTATTTGTTTGGCTAGTCTAAGGAAAAGAAGAATTAGGGGTGACATGTTAGCAATATTCCACTATTTGAGGGGCTGCCAGAAAGAAGTGGGGGTCAAATTATTCTCCAAAGCACCAGAAGGCAGGACAAGAAACAATCGATGGAAATTAACCAAGGAGAGAAGCAACCTGGAATTAAAGAGAAACTCCCTAACAGGGAGGACCATTAACCAATGGAACAACTTATCTCCAGAAATCGTGGGTTCTCCATCACTGGAGGTTTTTAAGAAGAGACCGGACAGTCACTTGTCTGAAATGGGATAAGTTATCCTGCTTGAGCAGGGGGCTAGACTAGAAGACCTCCAAGCTCCCTCTAAGCCCTATTCTATTCAAAGCAAGATAGTGAACATCTGATTAGAACCTCACTACCTTTTTCTGGCTGGGCAAAACAAATGGGCCTTAATGGGTTTTTTTTTCCAAATCCTAAGAGAGGCCAGTTTGGTGTTGTGGTTACGACACCAGGCTAGAGACCCGGAGACTGTGAGTTCGAGTCCCGCCAGAGGCACAAAGCCAACTTGATACCAATTTCTCCCAAGCCTAGTTAAGGGAGCCAACGGCAAACCGCTTCCAAAATCTTGCCAAGAAAACTGCAAGGAGTCATCCAGGCAGCTGTCAGGAGTCAACGCTGACTTGAAGGCAACTAGTAGTGGCACAGCCAGCCCAATCTCTGGGCAAAAGGGAGTGGCTATTGAAAACTCCTGCAAACTGATGGGTAAACCTTTTGTTAAATTTTTTGTTCATCCGATGTGCACCATCGCCGTGGGCTTCCCTCAATCCGATAAATAACCTCGGTTAAAAATGTTGCTCTTCCTGGTGAAATAACTTTTGTCTTGGTTTTGCAGCATGCAGACCTGACCAAGGAAGAACTAGAACCGATGTAGAGCTGGATCTAGATTTGACTACTCCGTTGAAGGCTCAAGGTGCTCAGTTCAAGTAGGCTTTAAGACCATCACCGTCGTTAAGTGCGTAGAAACTGATCTAGAGGGCAGTCGTAGGAAGCAAGCTACCCCTTCCCTCACTCCAAGTTTTCCTTCTTTCCCCCTTCCCTCCCTCCCTCCTTCTCCCCCTCCCATATAATCTTTATCTTTACCTCCTTTCTGCCTTCCTTCTTTCCTTCAATTCCTTCCTTCCCTCCTTCTCTCCTTCCCATTGGCAAAAGATGCCGGTGTAACACTTGGGCCTTTTCCCCAAGCCAAGCCTTGCGAGCTTACCAAATAAATTGCATTGGACACTACAAAGTATTACAGAAAATCCTTGACTTACCACAGTTTGTTTAATGACCGTTCAAAGTTACAATGGCATTGAAAAAAAAAATAGACCTATGACCATTTTTCACACAAGCATGGCAGAATCCCCAGCGTCCTGCGATCAAATTTCAGTGAGATCAACTGACTCACATTCATGACGGTTGCAGTGTCCCAATGCGATCCCCTTTTGTGACCCCTGAGCAACTACCTCAGTTAGCAACACAAACGTTGGGCTTAATTGTGGCCCTATTTTCGAGGACTACCTGTACAGCAGCAGCAGGCCCATTGAACACAAAACCAACCAGTGTGTTGGGTTAAAAAAGGGCGTCAGACAAGTGCGTTTTGTAGATCTCCAATTCTGGGAATTTTCTTATTTGGTCATGGCTTTAAAAGTGTCGCCAGAAGGACTTCCTATTAAGTAAACTAGTTGGGAGGAGAATCCAGTGGTGGGATTCAAATTTTTTTTACTACCAGTTCTGTGGGCGTGGCAGGGGAAGGTTACTGCAAAATCCCCATTCCTTCCCCACCCCACTGACCTGCTTTCCAGCTCCATTCTCCTGGGCAGGGCAACCAAAGAAGACCCAGCCAATCAGCTGGGACTCGGGAGGCAAAGAATAGATGGGGCCAGTCAGAGGTGGGATTTGTCAGTTCTCCAAACTACTCAAAATTTCCGCTACCGGTTCTCCAGAACTGGCCAGAACCTGCTGAATACCAACTCTGGGAAAATCGCTTATAGGAGTTCAAATTACTAGGTGGTTTCCTGTCTGGAATTGGCTATAAAAGATTAACTAAGATGGTTGTGTTTAAATATCTCACCCTATGAAATCTAGAACAGGGGTCTCCAACCTTGGCAACTTTGAGACTTGTGGACTTCAACTCTCAACCAGCTTGGCTGGCTGAGGAATTCTGGGAGTTGAAGTCCACAAGTCTTAAAGTTGCCAAGGTTGGAGACACCTGCCCTAGGGAGCCCTCAAGATCATCTTCAACAGAACTGAACCAGGTCAGACGGAAGACGTAACATCTAACACCTGCCTTCACGCAACACACAACAAGCTTGATCAGAGTTAACCTGGGTTGATTGTTTTGCAGGTTAGCACGTTGGTTTGTGGGTTAGCACATGGTTTCTGCTTGACTGTATTGGGTGGATCCCAGAAAAAAAACCCCACACAATTCAACATCTTTGTGTGTAAACGCCAGCCTTAGGCACCATAATTTCTGGCAGGGTCTTTAGTCTTCTTCCATCGGAAAGCTTTCCTGATTTGCTTGTTCTGGGTGCAAGAGAGCCGTGGGTTGTGGAGGAGGTTCCACATTAGCCAGATTTCAGCGATCTTCAGACCATGGACCACCATGAGGTCTTTGTAGAAACAAGGATCAAAAGTCTGCAGGTTGGGAGCTGCAGAAGGTTTGAGTATTCCAAAAGTCTTGAATCCTTCGTGCAAGACGGGCTTCAGGTTGATTCGTTGCAGGCACATGCCCAAGAAGACATCGTCAATTGGGAAGAGTTCCACTTGGGTGCAAGCTTGAGCAAGCTTCTTCAAGGTGCTGATGGACAACAAGAACCCACCGCCTCCGGCATAGGCTGGGTACATACCTAGCCCGTACATTGTTTCTGGAATGTAGTATTTGCTTTGTCGGATTCGGATCGGTTGTGCATTGTAGATGGTGTCCCCAACGAAGAGGTCCTCGGAAGGATTGCAGCTTTCCAGGAAGTTGACAATGTTCTCCATGTTGACAAAAACGTCAGCATCCCCTTTGAATATGAACTTGGTCCTGGAACAAAATTCATCAGCCCAGCTTAAGAAGTGTATCTCTTTCAAGGTCAAGTTGAAGAAAGTATCTAGGAAGTCCCAAAGTAAAATGTCCCGGTACAACTGGCTCTCTTGACGGACCAGGGTTTCCCAAGTTGGCAGTGCCGTCTTGTTCTTCGGAACGCCGAGGAGGAAAACTCTTTGGACCTGCATCCCGTTCACCAGACCTTCTCTCCCCCATGTTCTGCGTACAATCTCGCGGTGGTCGAACTCCTCAACCAGCGACTTTACGGCCACGAGCAGGAAAGGCCTTTCTGAGCTCCTCGTGCACTTCTTCGGCTGATTAATGAGAAGGTTGAATTTCCGGTTGTCCTTGTTCCTTAGGTAAAGTCTAAAATCAAAGGTGGAATGAGTCGGGAGGGCCGGAGGGGTGACTTGGTGTCCCTGGCTTTCCAACTTGGCATCTTTCATAGGCGAGATGATTCTAGGCTCCGACGCGCGGCTCTCTGCGTTGGACCACTCCTGGAAAATGGGAACATGAAATAAATCCCTGTAAGTTGTGGTTGGTGTCTTCTTCTGGCCTTCTGCTTTTTCTTCTCGGTGGGACGTGTGGCCCAGTTGGGAATAGAGCATGGTGAATAGTGCTATCCCCAGGCAAAGTGTGCAGATAGCATCTCTCCTGAGTTGAACTCTCATCATTTCCAGGAACTTCAAAGAAATATCCACAGTAGCACTAGGGGAAATCTTTGCTGGCGAGGTCCATCTGCAAATACAGACACTGTAGGGTTAGTACAACCTTTGCCACGTCATTCAGAATCTCAAAAGCGTCTCCCACTCAGGAGAGGGATATTAATCATAACTTCATAATAATTCATTAAATATATGCTATCCAATTCCCAGGGACTTTGAGCTAAGTTAGCAGCAATCTATCTTCTTCTTCCATATATACTGTACATAAAAGCAAAATGCCCCTCATGCATCATCACCAAATCTCCAGAACCGTAAAGCCTGCAAACTTGAAATTTGGCCCAAATGCTCCTCTTGGCTTCTAGGTGCTTACTAAGAAAGGATTTTTCGAATTGACCATCAGAGCATTTAGAGTATTTCCTATATTATTATTATTAACATGCTCTGATGCTAAGGAGTTCTACTCCCCCTCTCCACCTGAAAAGAAATCTTGTTCCAAATACAAAACACAAGCAGAGGAGAGGAGTTTCAATTTCAGTTTTAGTTTCACAGCACCAAGCAGCTTTAGTACAGAACAGTTAAGCTAAGCCATGCCCAGGCTCCTTGCTGTCTCCTTGCTCACACAGCAAATACTGTTTCCTTTTCCAAACAGCCCTCAACTCTCACACACTGACAGGAAGCTAGCCAGATGAATACCATTGGATGCTGGTAGGCAGAGGCGGAATTCCCCCCTCCCTTATTTTCCTCCCCAAAAACTAAGCCCAACCACATAGTTTCGTAGCAAAGCACGAGTATAGAGCTAGTAGCTTGAATGGAGTTACATGTTTACTGGCTGGATGCCCTTCCTGTTGCCAATGCGGAGTTCTTTTCCAGCAGATATATTCTCATTGTGCCCAGAGAGAGACATTTGCCTCTACCTAGGATAAAACTCAAGCAGCCTCCGAAATGGAGCTTATCTTAACACCTGACTGGCCCCCTTTTACAGTGTTTTTTTTGTGACAGTCATTAAGCAAATGCGGCAGTGTGAACATGTCATCAGTGCAAACACTGCAGTAGTTAAGCGAACCCGTTGCATCCTGTGAGTAGTGTGATGCAAAGAGCAAAGACATTTGATGAGGTTCCTTGCCAAGCAAGAGATTAGGTCCCTCGATTAAAGACAGGTGGCTGCAGCCTGATATAAAAAGATGGCCCTGACCCATGGATCCTTTGTTGGGATCAACTGTCTGACTTTCTGCTTCTTGTATGATGTTCATGAGGATTCTGCTCGGGAAATTTTGACCGCTGGACTGTCTTTTGACAGTCCCTGATCTGGATCTTGGAGCTCTGGATTAAATTTGGACTGTTCTTCTGCACAATCCTGTTAAAAGTGAGTCATTCAGGCAAACTTATTTCAAGACTCTGTTTTTCTTGAGCATTCCTTGTTGGCAGTGATTTCCTTGACCTTGAGTAAACTGCTAATTTCCATAGCAATTTTGGTGTGTGTGAGTGCATAATTGAAAGCAAATAGAGTCCAGAGCCTCTTCTGTACCTTAATATCTACATTCCCTTGTGGTTGCTTTAAGAACAATCTTCAAGAGGGCGACAGCTTTCACTTCATGACTGTAGAACAGAGGCTGTCAAACTCGTGGGCCAGATGTGCCATGCGCTAGCCACGCCCATGCTCGGCTTAGCAAAGAGGAAAAAGTCCCGATACATCATGTGACACTACCATGACGCCGTGACTTTGACACTGCTGGTCTAGGGGGTTTCTCAGGAGGAGATGGTCCTGAGCTCCTGAGAAGAGCAACAAAGATGATTCGGGGACTGGAGGCTAAAACATGTAAAGAATGGTTGCAGAACTGGGTATGGCTAGTCTAGTGAAAAGAAGGACTAGGGGAGACATGATAGCAATCTTCCAATATCTCAGGGATTGCCCCAAAGAAGAAGGAGTCAAGCTCTCCTCCAAAGCACCTGAGGGCAGGACAAGAAACAATGGATGGAAACTAACCCAGGAGAGAAGCAACTTAGAACTAAGGAGAAATTTCCTAACAGGGTGGACAATTAATCAATGCAACAACTTGGCTCCAGAAGTTGTGAATGCTTCAACACTGGAAGATTTTAAGAAGAGACTGGACAGCCATTTATCTGAAATGGTACTGGGTCTCCTGCTTGGGCAGGGGGTTGGACTAGAAGACCTCCAAAGTCCCTATTAGATTCTATTCTGTTCCTATTCCTATCTATTCCTATCCTATCCTGGTTGATGCCATTGCCATCCCATGACTCGGAAGCCAAAAAAAATGGAAATTCAGAATTGGCTTTGTCTGAGCTGGATTGAGAAAAGTTATCCTTCCTCGAGCCTTATTTATCTCTGGATGTCTTGGTGGGCTTCTTCTGGGAGTTAAAAGCCCCCACATCTTAAAGTTGCAAGTTTGAGAAACACTGGCCTTGAGGGATTTCACATTCCCATTTCGAGAAAGCATTTATTTGGATTGATTGGGATTTCCACATGGTGGGGAAAAGAATTAAAGATGGAGATTAGGACTGTGCGGTTGGAAGACCAGGTCTCTTTCTAAAATATATCAGGAGGGTGTTAGAAAGATGCAGGGATTTAATCATGGCGTTGCAGCGGCCATCTTGACTTTTTTTTTTAACCTGCTCGTAGTGGATGTTCCTACTACCATGGTTTTCTTTCCTTCAAAACCAGTGTTGTTTTTTTTAAAGGGTATGTGTAATTAAATAATAAAATTGGAAGAGGATAGAGTGTTTTTCACCCTGCATATATTTTAATTCTGGATCCTGCAGGGGCAGATCACTATCCTGTGCCAAATTGTAATTTTTAATGTGACAGAAGAGGGAGAAATAATGACTTGCCAGCTGTTGAATAATCTCGTCAATTTACCAAAATAAATACCATTTAAATTTGATCAAGATTTTGCTTAGGCTTTTAGAAACTGGAAACACTTTAGAAAAACAAAGAATAAATTTTATTCTGGCCTTCTTTTCTTTTTCTTTGTGGTCTCTGGCATACTCAACAAAACTCAATTTTAATCTTTATTGTAAATTACCAATTCAGGGTTGCAAGATGCTGAACAACCACTGGGTGGCATCAAAGGATTGTAGATTTCTTCTCTCTTTGCCACCCTCTGTTGCTTGGCTGGATTTCTGCAACTCAACTCTTAAGTACCCACAGCCCAAACCTCCTAGCAAAAGTTACGTATCTATTCTTTCTACTTCCCATTCTGGTAAAATAAATTGCTTGTTCTTAGGAAGGTGGCAGCAGATAGCAGCTCTGAAAAGCTAAGTAAGTTTAGACCTGGTTAATATTTGGAGGGCAGTCACCAAAAATTCTCAGAGCCGTAGGGTCAAATGGTATCAAAGAACATCCTACAGAAATGCAAATTACTGGTGTTAGGAAAATGACGTGGATGAATAACAGAATTGAAAGGGACCTTCTAGTTGGAGACCCTATACCATTATTTATTTATTTATTCGTCAAACAAAAATTACAAATTCAAACTAACAAAATGAAAAAAAAAAACTAAAATGTGTGACAAGGATGATACGTAAGCAAGTTAGTGCACTTACGAAAACCCACTTAGGAACTTCTTAAAAATAGGATGGGGTCCACAGAAATTAAGTTGGAGTTAAAACTGGGAAAATAGTAGCCATGCCATCCCAGACAAGTGGCTGTCTGGTCTTTTCTTAAAAGCCTCCAGTGATGGATCACCCACAACTTCTGGAGGCAGGTTGTTCCACTGGTTAATTGTTCTCACTGTTAGGAAATTTCTCCTTAATTCAAGTTGCTTCTCTCCTTGTCCATCCATGTCCATCCATTTTTTTTTTCTTGTCTTGCCTTTTGGTGCTTTGGTCTCCAACATTGGCAAAGCTGGCCGGGAAATTATGGGAATTGAAATCCTCTAAGCTTAAAGTTGCCAACGTTGGAGAGTCCTGCTTTGGAGACTAGTTTGGCTCCCTCTTCTTTGTGGCAGCCCTTGAGGTATTGGAACACTGCTATCAGGTTACTCCTGGTCCTTCTTTTCACTAAACCAGACATACCCAACTCCTGCAATTGTTATTCATATGCTTTAGTCTCCAATTGTTCTGACCCAAGCCGTTGTCCAATAAAACAAACACAAACGAAAGGGAACAGAAACCTTTTAATGATTCTTACGAATCCCCGGTTAAAAGGCTGCTGCAAACTAATTTGATAAGCACAAAACTCACCAAAACAAGAATAACAGAGAAGGTTACCTAGAAATATTTTACAACACAAGAGTCTTCAAATACCAACCTAAGATACTGCAATGTCCACGAGGCTGAGTTTCAAAACGTCTTTGCTTCCTGCAAAGAAGGTCTGATTCACAGCTGGCTTTTATCTTCTTGAAGGAGGGGCCATTACCTTGCAGCCTTACTCCTGAGTCGCCCGTGCTGTTGCAGCTGCTCTTTCCTGCAAGCAATCCTGCACGCATGCGCACTTGGCACAGGCTCCTTGGAACCTCCTCATTGCTGCTGCCAGCCCCCACAATCCCTGAAGCCAGCAGTTCACTCCCCAATGGTCCTGGCCCTTCATCTGAGTCCTCGCTTTCCTCAGCCATCCTTACCTGCTGCCGGCTAACCACAACACCAATCCCCAATCGTCTTTGTTGCTCTTCTCTGCACTCTTTCCAGAGTCTCAACATCTTTTTTTATAGTGTGGTGACCAAAACTGGATTCCAAGTGTGGCCTTGAATTTGAGGTTACCAAAGTCAAGCATGATTTAACGTCTTGACTTTTGGAGGACGTGTAAAAACTTCACTTGTTAATTTCTTTAGTATCTTCTGAGTCCACGCAACAAACTTGAGTCCCACCCTTTGGGCTCAACCGCTCAGCCTTGACTTACACAAGCTGCGCTGTTTTACGAAAGAGAAATATTCTGAATATGATCATAGAACTCTTTCTTAGTCCAGGCAGGGAATCTAATGCATGATACAAGATTTGTTCAGCTGATGGAGAGGCCCAGCTATGTTGAACCCTGGGTTAAAGAGGATTTTAGTGTGGAGCTGGCTTGACTTAAGATTCAGGATGCAAATGACAACTTTGGATGTGATTCTTGGCCCA